TCAAAAGACGAAATCGAGAAGGATTAGATCAATTATTAATTATTGAAAACAAACGTGAACGTCGACCAAATCGAGATTCGAACTATAAATATAGAAGCTTTGTACAAGCTATCAAATTGCTTAAAGTATCAGAAAATGCTCTTTACGCAACATTTACTGCAGTCTTAAATAGATAAATTTATCGATCTGAATTACTTTTACTACCGCGAAATTGGAACGAATTGCTTAAGCATCTATTGAAAGATGATTTTATCCTTGCTGCAAGCAAGGAACATGTAGGATTAAAGCAGAAAGATACCTTTAAGGTTATTAATATCAGTGAAGCTGCAGATTACGAGATTCTGCCAGTTATATAGGTATTTACCTATAAATTCGACGAAAATGGTAACTATCTTAAGGCTAAGGCACGAATTTGTGTACAAGGAAATCTTCAAGCACAATCAATAGAGGAAAATCGTGCAGGGACAGCTTCTGCGAGAATCTTCAGAACTTTAATAGCTTTAGTTACTGCATTTGATCTTGATACAGACTAAAAAGATGCCGTTAATGCATTCTTAAATGCTTTTTTGGATCAGGTGGTATATACAAGGATACCAAAAGGATTCAAACAATCAGGAAAGATCTGGAAGGTCTTAAGAGCACTATATGGCCTTCGAAAATTACCTCGACTATGGCAGAAAGAGCTATCCGCAATACTTCAAGAATATGGACTTAAATCTATCCCTGAGAAAGAGTGTCTCTTTATAAGTGCCAACTTACTAGTCCTTTTTTACGTAGATGATATTATTATTATCAATCAGCCTACTCCAGAAGCCCGCGCAGAAGCAAAACGATTCAAAATTGCCCTAGCGGCTCGCTATGAGCTAAAACATATGGGAGAAATTGCATGATTTCTAAACATTTGAGTTATTCGAGATCGACCGAATAAGAAGCTATAGCTTTGCCAAGATGCTTACATAGAGCAAATAGCTGCGAGATTTTACCTTAACGACTTGACTAGATGGCCTGAAACGCCTCTACGTACGAATATCGAACTACTTCCCAATGAAGAGCAAGTTATACCAGGTTGAATCCATAAATATCAGCAGAAAACTGGTTCCGCTCTATTTCTAACCATTATTATTAGGCCTGATGCAGCCCTAGCAGTCAACGAACTATCGAGATTTTCAAAGAACCCTTCGCCAAGTCATATAGAGGCAATTAATCGAGTTATTGCTTATCTCTATGATACCCGCTATCTAGCACTTGAGTTTAGCGCCAGCGAGCATGCAGACGAAATCTATATCGCTGCAAGTGATACTTCATTTGCTAATAATAAAGATAGGAAGAGTACTGAAGGATATCTCTGCAAACTATTTAGAGATCCAATTGAATAGAAATCAAGCAAACAACGCGCAGTCACTACGTTAACTACTGAAACAGAATATGTGACACTTGCAGAAGCTGCTAAAGCAACATATTAATGGTATAGAGTCTTTAAATCATTAAAGTTTGATCCAGATCATTCGTTTGCTATCTATTGTAACAACAGACAGACTATTAATCTGCTTACCAAGGATACTGTCTAACGGAACAAGTTACGCCATATTAATATTAACAGATTATAACTTCGACAAGAGGTTCAAGAAGGGAGACTTCAAGTCAAATAGATTTTTACTAATCAGATGACTGCAGATGGGTTCACGAAGGCTCTCTCAGTTCAAAAATACCGAGAATTTGTGAAAATGCTCAATTTGGTTAACATCAAGGATCTTATTTATAACTAAATGGGTATATGTAGCGTTCAATTTCAACATTAACCGCTGAGAGGGTATGTCAACCGTATGTAACCGCTAGTTACATAAGAGACCTTCCTATTCCGAATATCGGTATTAGTAACTACCGATTCCTGAAGATTATGTAGATTTTTCTGTCATTTCTATAGTTCAAAAGTTATATTTCTTCTAGTTGCCTTTTTTAGGCTAGATTGCTTATTAATTTTTCATGTATTTAAACCACCGTGTGCAGCTAGATTGAAAGAATCAGACCTTCATTATTCGATATTCCTATGGGTAACATTACTAGCAATTACGCCTAGAGAAACGGCCAACATTAACGCCTCTGTACGGGTTCTGCGAGTAAATGGCGCGGAATTGAGCCTTTGAGGGCCATCGGGCTAGGTAGGTAGCGGCTTTTGCAATCACACATAATTGAGGATTCTAGAGTAATCTAATAATCTTAAAAATGTCTATTAGCACTTTAGTACTAGATAAAAGCCAGAGATCAATTAATCCCGAGTCCTGACACTGCACCAACTGTATATCCCCGTACCGGGATTGCCATCCTGATCAATCCGGCTGACTAAAAGCTCCGCCACCAACGCGCCTGGCTTTGTCCCCTCAAGCTTACACTTAGCTTCACCCTCAAATGCCGAACATGTCCATGCGGACATATTATTACTGACCCCTCTAGCCCCAACACACACTCTTTGCAACGATCCACATACATTGCACCGCTAGAACTCTATCGAACCCGCCGATAGATTCTCCAACCAGTCACCATGAAAGCTCTACTCCGCAATAAGCAGGGCTGTTGGACGTGTCGCCTGCGTAAGAAGAAATGCGACGAGGGCCGGCCCTACTGCTCGACTTGTGATTCGCTTTCCATCCCATGCTACGGATATGGCCCCAAGCCCGAGTGGATGGATCACGGCGACCAGGAGCGCGCCGTCGCCAATGACCTCAAGCAAACGGTCAAGCGCACGTCCCGGCGCAAGGTTCCGGCGGTGTTCCCGAGGCGATCTGGTGCGGTCGCTAATATCGCGCCGAAGCCGTTGGATGGCTCGGGGGAGAGTTCCTCATCTAGTCCTGCCTCCAATGGCACACACGTCGTGAATCCTCCCTCGGATAATGGCTCTCCGCAGGGCGAGGCAGCTCACGTGCTATTAAATGCATTGGATGTAAGTGTGACATTCAGTATATTGTAAACTCTCTGATATGTTTTTCATAGAGCTCTCCGGCGTCCCAGGCTGCGCAGGACGAATCTATAGCAGATTCTATATTCCCATCATCGGCGACCGAGTCGGTTCTGTTGATGCATTTCCTAGACAATGTGTTCCCACTACAGCATCCGATGTACAAACCCAGCCCATTTGAGGGAGGACGAGGCTGGTTACTGGCTCTACTACTTCGGACCAAACCTCTATATCATGCCACTCTCGCGGTCAGTTCTTACCATCGCCGGAAGATGGTATTTAACGTCCACCACCCGTGTCAAGTGGCTGGTTTAGTGGAGCAGGAGAAGCATCTAGAGATCTGTTTGAAGGAGTTTCAACAGGCATTGAAAGCTGCTAGTCTGTCTCTGCAGATGCTGTCTCCGGATAAAAGTAAGGGGTTGGGTATGGCAGCCTCGGTCGTCCAGCTGGTGTTCTTTGAGGTATTTTTTCTTTACTTTTTACAAGTTGTGAGATTCTACTGACCATCTGCAAAGTTATTCACGGGACAAGGGAATGTATGGAAGGTCCATCTCCGCGCAGCGACGAATATGGTCTCAGCGGCCCATGGCCACCACTTCAGTTGTTTTGGTATGGAGGGAAAGTCCAGGCATATTTTAGACGACGACCTTCCTCTACCGGAAGGGGAGCCTGTAGTGACAGAACAGGTTGTCTCGTTCAGATTTCTGACGGGCACGATACTTTGGCTAGACATCCTGTCTTCTATCACGGCAGGCACCGCACCGGAGTTGCTGTCCTGCCATGCTACTGTGATCGGACCGGATGCGCAGATCCAATTAGAGGGTATCACGGGCTGTAAAAACTGGGCCATGCTTCAGATCGGTCGCATTTCTGCGCTGTATGCGCATAAAATGCAGGCCTTGCAGCATGGCAATGCTATGTGCTCGGAATTTGAGCAGACTATCGGCGATATCCAGCGGGAGATCCAGTGTGGCCTGGCCCAAGGAGGCTTGGAAGGGTTCAGTCTTTCAGACGGGACCTCGAAGATGTTCAGTGCGATCTTGGACCCGTGCACGCTCGTTACCCACGTGTTCGCTTGCATGGCATCGGTTTACCTCCATCTTGTCACGCACGATTTTCATGCACTGGATCTATTAGATCCGACGATTTCAGAGGCCATGCGGATCCTCCAGACCCAGGTCCCACCCAATGTGTTACCCAGTTTAGTCGCGCCGCTGTATGTAATCGGCACCGTCGCCCGACCAGGAGACGAGCAGTTCTTTCAGAGCGTTTTCTCGTCGCCGATATTGCTGGATCCGTTGCTGGAGCATCGAGGAAAGGTCTTACCCATTCTGGAAGAGATTTGGAGGAAAAGAAGGGCCCCCCTTAGCCTCACGTGGGCAAGCACTCTGGAACTAACCCACAACCTTCTGCTTCATTGAGTCTTGTGTAACCGTCGATCGGCCCAAATTGGGCATCATAGAGAATCAGGGGTTCCAAGACATCACGAAATTCCTAGAAATGGGCTGACAAATGGATTGAAAGGGGTGAATAACTAAACATTTCATAATGTCCTGAGTAATATTCCAGTTCCGTTCTTGGGGTAGAAGAATGATTTATCATCGCCACCTATTGTTGCCAAGCGCACATCAATTGCGCCAGCGTGCTTGTCCTTGACACTATCGACCACCAGGCTGTCAACTATTGGGCACGAGCGCGTTTCGCAGCGCCATTAGTGGTGAAACAAGGACTCGGGGCAAGAGTTCTGTGGATGCAGGAAGACTTTTCGGCGCCTCTCGTTGTTTTCGGATTCCTTAGGTTCAGGTCTCGGCGCTCCGGCCTGTCATTGGTTTATGACAGCGGCAGATGTGTGCGCGCTCAGACCGCTGATTGGCTGCAACCAGCGTCACGGGCTGTGATTGGTGCCCGATCCTTCAGGCTGCCACTTTTAGCCTCAGGCACTGCGGATCTAGATAGGCCGATAGGCCATTTGTTTTGTTTGACAGGACTTATAACTGACTTCCTCTCCTGACGTTTGTCACCCTTCATCTCTCCTGCCGTCTTCATCATGGTATATATTCTCCGTCTCCTCGCCGGCGTCGTGCAACAAGGCCTCACTACTGTTTTTCACTTTCTCACTATCAACTATTTCGCTGAGCTTCCTCCTCCACCGGGACCAATGAAGAAGATAGTGATCCTGGGTGGCTCCTTCGCGGGAATCAGCACTGCCCATCGCATTCTCAAGAAGTCTGCAAAAACCGGTCCAGTCAAGATCACTCTCGTATCGCCAAACACTCACTTCTACTGGAACGTCGCCGCCCCGCGAGCGATCCTCCCCGGTCAAATCGACGACGAGAAGGTGTTCCTGCCTATCGTGGAGGGGTTCAAACAGTATAAGGATAGCGAATATGAGATCATTACCGGGCGCGCCCAGAGCCTTGACTTTGAAACCAAGACGGTCGAGATCATAAACGAATCCGGCGAGCGAACACTCGATTACGACTACCTGATTCTTGCGACTGGGTCGCGCACTGTCGGCGAAATCCCGTTTAAAACTCTCGACACCACCGAGAATACCAAAGAGGCTCTGCACGACTACCAAGAACAAGTGAAGAAGGCCAAGACGATCGTTATCGGCGGTGCCGGACCCACGGGCGTCGAAACGGCTGGTGAGTTGGCGTTCGAGTATGGGAAACAAAAGCGAACCATCCTGGTATACTCCCCTCTCTCCCAACACACAATCACGTCCTTCGCTAACTCTAGCAAACATTTCAGATCACACCCGCCACTCGAGTTCTCGACTCCGCCATCCCCAGCGTCTCCAAAGTCGCAAGCGACATCCTTCATAAACTCACTGTCGAAGTGAAACTCTCCACGAAAGTCACCTCATCATCACCCACTTCCTCCGGTCAGCTCGAACTCACCCTCTCATCCGGCGAAAAGATCCTCACGGACATGTACATCCCTACCTACGGCGTGGTGCCGAACAGCTCCTACATCCCCGCCTCATACCTTGACGACAAGGGTTTCGTGAAAGTGGATCAGCAGTTCCGCGTGAGCGGACAATCCAACGTCTTTGCCATTGGGGATGTGTCGAATCTCGAACCCCCGCAGCTCATGTTCGTCGATAAGCAGTCAACTCATCTGGCGAAGAATATCGTCCTGGTGCTGGGTGGGAAGCAGTCGGTGGAGTACAAATTGGGTCCGAAGGGTATGTCCCTCATCTTTAATTCAATTCCTCGCCTTGTCTACCCATCACATCCTCTGCATCTTGAAAGTTCCCTGATTTAAAGGACTGATCAACTAATATAATGTACCATAGGCCTCGGTCTTCAAATCGGCCGCAAAACAGGGACCGGACACTTGGGGAACTTCAAGATTCCAGGCTTCCTGGTACACATGCTGCGCAAGAACTTGTTCTTGGATAAGGTGGCGCCGCTAGTTGATGGGTCTGCCTTTTAATCGTGTTCTTCTTCCTAGGATTTCTTTTTGGCGTCAGTATTGATACCTTTTTTCGTTCAATTTCATTTTACAATGTGGGTCGCTTGTTAGACCTAGCTCGCTGTTTAGTTCATTGAAAGGGAGGAGAGACAGGGGAGATAGATTAATAATATTAATCAACGTTCAGATCACCGGCTCTGTTGTTAATCTCTCACTCTTCGATATAAGTAGATTGAGCATTCAATATTCGCTAATATCTGCAATAAGTCCTCAAGACTTTTTGATCAGCCAGCTAGCCAACAAGGTTTCCACTCGAAAAGCCCGCAAAGAAAGCTTTCTGGAGTTTGCTACAAATACCTTGCACGCTACATCTAAATCTCCGGAGCTCAATCTAACAGATTCAGTCGGGTTCAGTACATGCTTGATGGCTATTCCGACTATCCAACAGCTTCCAGCCTTACTCCCATTGCTCAATACATTATCCACCACCAGAACTTCAGAATTGGTCTAGGACTTCCGATTGTTCACCTCCTTAATCCTCATATTGCCGACCTCCATTGGCATCAGTCGCATGAGAATCAAATCGTAGTATTGTGCGGTAAAATCGGCCGTTATGCTGGACGAGGTCGCCCGTCCCGGCAGTTTTTCACCAGTTCAAGAGATCCTCCGGGCTCTTGTCGATCTTGATAACCCCCGATGGCCTTTTTGGTCCCTTATATCGCTCGATCGCAGTCCTCCATTGAACGAGCTAACGCATTTGATGAAAATCTTTGGAGTTGGATTTTAAAGTGCATATAAATAAAACTCATTTATTTGCAAGCGTGAGGGATCTATAGTTACTGTCTACATAAGAACCAAGGACTTCAATGAATCGAAAGGTTCAAAATTCTGCAAATAAAATCTGTCCAGCTCTAACATGACACTAGGAGGGGTATTCAAGAAACAGGAATCCACGCCATATCAAATATCAAGCTAAAAGAAGAGACCCGGTATCAAAGCAAGGATACCGGTCTGGGTATAAGCAAACATCTATCTGATAATTCCTCGGTAGTCTAGATTCCACACATCCAGTATCTCTGCGAGGTCTCCCATAATCCTTTTTCACCGTTTGAGCTCGTCTTTAGCAGCGGAGCCCATGGCACCGGAAGAGAGCCAGCGCCGGTGTAATGAATGGAGAACATTCTGTGAAGATATTAATTATCTCCCGGCAGCAGAATAATCAAAGTAGAATATTAGAAGGCATGATACCTTGGAAAGAAACTTGGATCTCTGGTCTTGGTGGTTGAATGAATTAAAGCGTAGTTTGGTATTAGTGTGAAGAAGTTTGGGAGATTGTTTGACTCTACTCTTATATAGCCAATAAAAACCTAATAATGTCATAGTATTGAGCCCATCAGGAGGAGGATGATCGCCTATAACCCAGGGTTCAACTTGAACGCGGCATGGGGATTTACAATACCTTCATACTGGCAACACCTAATCCAGAGCTAAAGCAGCGAGTAGCTTCTTGTACACTATCTCTTTAATTGCCAAAAAGTACGGCCTAGGCTACATACATCATTACGATCTTTTCGTGTTCCCCTTTACTAAAGAGGGAAATGCACAAGATTTTCCAGTCCATGGATCGAATAAATTTAGATTTCCGGTAAGTCTCCCATCCACATGTTCCTAGACATGGTATAAGGACAATATTAAATATATGAATATCCCTAACCAAAATAGGGGACGCACACAATATATCCAAGAAGAAAAATAAATAAACTTAACGATGTCTCAAGTGACTACTTGATTGTCCTCATTATGATCATCCACCGACATGTTCATACCAATCGCTGCACGTATGATATATGATATCTCGTAGGAGGTGCCGATGCAGATGACATCATAATTAACCAAGGGAGGGTAGCCCCGCTGGGAGGCAGCTGGCATGTGTCGTTATCTTCTAATAACAACGATTCTATTGGAGAGAAGGATGCTTTCAGTGCGGAGTCCTCTGCCAGGCCAGCGCATGAGACATGTCTGGGGGGGAAGGAGATACGAACAAGTCTGTGTAGGGGCCTGGGGCTCTCTTGCGGTCTGCTCTGTGCTTTTCGAGACTTTGGCTGTGCTGTCCCGCTACTGCTTTGGGGTCCTCTCTGGTTCTCGAGAGCATTAACTGCAATTAAGAAGATACACTCCGTGAGAATGGCGGTCACGGGCGGCTTATCTAATCTTGGTTCTTTCCTTGAGGCACAGTGCACTCATTTCCTTCTCCTCTCGAAGCCGACTTCAGAGTTGATGGGTTTCGATTCCATTAATTCCATCATCGAGCCAAAGCGTCATATCCCCTCTCGATCGGCTAATCTTCCTTCCCTGAAGATTACGGCAAGCCCACCTTGACAACTCCACTCACTGGGGACGCCATCTTCAGCCATCGGTGGGGTGTTGATTCTCGTCCTCGAATTAAATTCCACTGGCCAGCCCGGATCAATCAAAATCAAAACATTTCACCGCCAGGCCCCCCTTTTTCCCTTTCACACCCAAGTCGCGACTCGCGATGCTGACAATCGATCCACTCTGAATGGCATTGGTCAGGCCCACCGCAAGCAAGGAAGCTCCCACTCTCCAGATGAACCATGATCTGTGCGATGATCGGAGCCTCCTTTGGGACCAGTGAGAGTCACCAAGTGGATCCCCCAAGGGAGCCAGATGGCCCGACTATCGAAATGATCATCGCTTGAATCGGCGCGATTCAGCTGAGCCGAGATCTGCAGCCACAAAGGGAGCGCCCTTAGCACAAATCAAAATTGTTGCGGAGCTGATGGGTGGTTGCACGGGCAAGAGAAATGGGGATTCATGCATGACGAAAGACAACTAGCAGCAAGCAGCAAGCAGCAGCATGTTGCTGATGTGGGAATTTAAATTTGTCTGGTCTCGCTGTTTGCTCTCCGTCTTTTTCCCTTGATCCCTCTTTCCCTTCCCCCTTTCTCTCTTGGTTCCTTTCGTTGCTTACGGCTTTGATTTAACTTTGCTCTGATTTGTCTTTTTATCCTGCCCCGAGCATTATGCCGACCCCGATTCCCAAACCCAAAGGTCTGCCCATCCTAGGCAACCTTTTTGATCTCGATGGCAACAACCCTTGGGGCTCGTTCAATAAATTGTCGACCAATTATCGTAAGTCATTCGGTGATGGATCCCCCTCCCGTCGGATGGCTAAATCCTTGTTCTCTCGTTAGGTCCCATCTTCAAAATCACCATCCTTGGTAAAGACATTGTCTTCGTGACGGGCGCTGCCCTGCTGGAGGAGATCTGTGACGAGAAGCGCTTCCAAAAATGTGTGAACGGCCCGATTGTCGAGATTCGCGCTGCTGTTCATGACAGTCTTTTCACCGCGTTCCATGATGAGGAGAGTTGGGGGATTGCGCACCGAATCATGGCCCCGCTCGTCTCGCCGGAGGCTGTCGCCAACGTCTTCTCGGGCATGCAGGAGACGTCCAAGGATCTGGTCAAGAAATGGACCGCCAACCCTCGACAGCGCATCAACGTGACAAACGATTTGGACCGTGTGAACCATGCGGCTAATATGCTCTGCTTCTTCGACCAACGAGTACATTGCATGGAAGGCACGGAACCATCTCTCATCAAGGCCATGGATAGCGCCACGAGGGAGTCGATGAAGCGTGTCGCCCGCCCGAAGTTCCTCACCTGGCTCTTCCACCAGAGCAAGTGGGACAACGACATCAAGACTATGCGCGATTACTGCGCCAGCATCGTCGCGACCCGGCAAGAGAACCCCACCGATAAAAAGGACATGCTCTACGCCCTGCTGCACGGCAAGGATGCCCAGACCGGCAAATCCCTGACGGAGAGCCAGGTCCTGGATGAAATCATCAACATCTTCATCGGCAGCGCCACCGCCCCCAACCTCATCGCCTTCACCATGTACTACCTGATGAAGAACCCAGACGAAATCACCAAGGCTCGCGAGGAGATCGACAACGTCGTCGGCGGGCCCTCCGGCGAGCTCCAACACGAACACCTCGCCCGCTTGCCCTACTGCGAAGCCATTCTGCGCGAGTCTTTCCGTCTCTCCGGCGTCGCTCCAGGGTTCAACATCGAACCCCTCCCCACTGGCGAAGGTCCCGTATTCCTCGCCGGCGGTGAATACGAAGTTCCCCGCAAACAACCCCTCATCGCCATCCTATCCGCCGTGAACCGCGACCCCGCCGTCTTCGAGAACCCCGAGGCCTTCAAGCCCGAGCGCATGTTTGGCGAGAAATACGAGCGGCTGCCGGCAGGCGTGAAGAAAGGTTTCGGCAACGGCAAGCGCCAGTGCTTCGGCACCCAGTACGCCTGGGAATGGTCGTTCATGGCTCTCGTCACCATCCTGAAGGACGTGGAGTTCGAGTTTGCCGACACCGAGTATACCATGGCGAACGGCGGCATCAACTACAACGGGGCGTTCAGTGTGAGGCCGCAGGAATTCTTCGCCGTGACGGGACCAAGGGCTGGCTAGACGAATAGGTACCGTTTACTTATTCGGACTGGGGATATGTAAAACCTGCGTTATATTATACCTGTTATTGACATGAGATATGGGATACCTAAACTGTAACGGATTTGTTATTTTTGTGTTAGTTATCAGAGCCTTGTCTGCCTAATTGATTTTATCATCTATAAAATATTATTCTCCCTTTAAACAAACCAATCCTTTAAACCAGCCTGCCAAGACTTCAAAGTCATTTGGGAAGCTATCCACACCGTAGTGTATTCATCCCTCTGTCATCCACCAAGATTTCAAAAGAAAACAGAAACATTCGTCAACGAAAGAATAGCCCAAGCACTGGAGTTTGAATGGCTATGATTGTGTAATCTGCGAAGGAATTACACCTGCGGTGTTGGTGAAAATTTCGTTGGCGTTCTCGACTAGGTTTCTTTTCCTGACTCGCGGCTTGGAATTCATGTTCTTCTCGTTCGGTGCTCGCTTCACCGCATGGGGACACAAACTCGCCGATGGTCAGGAGCAATCTTGTCTACCAAGCTCTGGACACCGAAGAATTCGCCAAAGTCAAAGCTGCCACCGGCAATGGAAAGCATTTTATCCTCAAACGATCCGGAAAGATTCTATGGTAGTCCGGACAGCCTTGTTTTTCAGTATCCAGCCGTTCATTCTGCCGATGACTAGACGGAACTGAACACCATCAGAAAGCTTTCGTAAAGACTTAAAGCAGAACTCAGATTAGAGTAAGTGAGTATGCGGTGTTTGGTGGCCAGATTCAGATTGGAAAAGGAATTGATTGCATATCGGAGATTCATGCACTCTGCTGATTCGCGTCAAAGCATCCTCCTGTCACCGCGCGGATTTCACTGCATATACTGAATAAACCCTTTACTGAGAAGGGCTGGCTCTTCTTAATGAATTGGAATAGCTGCCACACCTCAATATCGTTCTCTTTCTTTCCAGACACGTAAAGTCCTTTGAGATTCTCGGCGAAGGCGATCTCCATGCCACTCAGTTTTGAGATATTTGAGAGAATGCCGTGAGGTTTAATTGAAAAGTATCCCGCGCTACCGTTATGTAAAGCCCAGGTCTTGGTGAGCCGAGAGTGAGGAACCAGTTCCTCATCCTGAGAGGGACCAAGAGCCAAGAGGGTTTCCGATACTAGTATTGCTAGATAATAACGGATGTAATTAGCGCGCGAGACTTAACAGGAGCATCGCCGCTGGGAAGGATCAGTGGCATACTAGTTACATTTTGAAACAAAACGAATTCCCGTGTCGACCAAAATCTCTGATAATAAAGGAGCAATACCAGGATCGTGTTCTTCCGCCCAACCTTTTTCACGAGCTCATTTATGGTGACAAGTAAGTCATTGTGGATGTCGGTTTTTAATCCATCAAGGCTGCTTTCAACGATGAAGAAATAGTGGATAGTTGGTCAGAGAGGAAAAAAATAGGAAGTCGGAACGAAATGAAGAAAAGGACAGGTACGTAGATACCCGTAGCTTCTTTATCCAGCGTAGTCTATTCGGTAAGATCTCAGAAGTGAGGGATATCTGTATACCATTTCATTCACCAAATAGACGGACCAAAGTCTGCCTTGGCTGAATCCCATAGCCCGGCTGCGTACATAGTTTGCTCATACATATTATCCTCAGTCCACTCAGAGGAGCCATCTGTGTTAGCTGGCAGACGAAGTGTATGTATTTCCCCCGAAACCCCTTTATCACGCCAGCATCCGAATATGTAATTCTGTCCTCCGCGACTGAATGTTTGGTAGTTTTTCAACGGCGGCTCCCACTCAGAAACTTTGATATGTAGCTCTATGAGCGGTGGCACTGGGGATATAGCAGCGTCATTTGTGGCCTCCTTCTGATCTGAGACCCAATTAAATATCTGCTCAGCTATGGATGTATTAATCCATGGACCGAGGCGCCCAATGAGCCTTTGATAGTGAGATTGAGTAAAGGGGATTTTGAAAGGCTTATTGAGCTCCAGGTATTTAAGACTTGCGAAAGAGGCTATACTGCTGGGGACTTTGTAAGGCTTTGACGATTAGTATTGATTCTTGCGAAATTGCGGGGCTGCATTTACTAGATTGAACTCAAAGTAGAGGTCGATACCTAGTCTCTCGACAAGAGGGAACTCGAGAGATAAGGCTTTTAGTTCTTCGGGAGTAAATAAACTTTGAAAATCCTGGGAGAACCCAGGGAGTCGTATATTCCTGGTCCGCCGAAATCGAAGCTGGCGGATATGGTGGCCGTGATGAACTGCGACCGAGCGAAGAAACTCTTTTGAAAGGTCATAGGCCGTGAAGGCCCGCAGCTCCGTGATCTGGTGGAAAAAACCATCAGGAATCGTGAGCATTGGAGGGTTGGAAAGAGGATCCGTGGCCACAGGTACCCGCACCGCAAAAGATTTCAAACTCGAAACGCAGCCAGAAATATGAGCGATCAATCTGTTCGTATCGGGGATACCGTCCAAGCTCAAATAATGTAAGTCCAGACTCTGAAGCCATTCTGCCCACTCGGCCGCTTGCTCGTTGGTGAAGCTAAAGTTTGTGATCGAAAGGGTTTGGAGGGCGGTAATATGCTTCCACGAGGCAGGTCGAATATGGGCTTCACGCCATCAACCTTACGACGACGAAAGTTTAATATTAGCCGCTTCAGGCAAGGAAATGATGTGATAACATCTCCAACTGCGTTGACATCTTACTGGCGAGCCGACAAGGAAGTATAGGTTATACTGAGGGATATGATGTAGGGCGCGCCTTTGATTAAATCATGGCCGAGAAGCTCATCCGACCTGCCTTCGTAGTAAAATCGCGGAGTTGACTTTCTGGCTTTGAGAATTTTGAATAGATCTCGGGGGAAAGGGATTCCCCGCCATCTGCCTGCGTTAGAATAAGGAATCATCTGGCTGTCCGAACAGTACCTGATAATCTCCAAATTGTGTAGATTCTTCACTAGGCGGTAGACTGCATCATCATACTCAGTCTCGTATGAGAACGTATCGGATAGGATGAGGATTCGAACGTAAGAGCATATCTTCATGTCCTGCTCAAGGAGCGTAAATAGTTTCTGATCATCAGGGCATCGCCAGCAAAAGATGCGAAGAGTCCTGAATAACCCAGGCGATACAATGCGACGAAAATAGCGACACGATATATTTAGCGAGGGAAGTGACTCCCAGGAGTCCCAGCGAAGCTTTCATACCAAGCACGACATTCAGTAACGCCGTATAATTGCGAGATGACAGTGGAGAGAACTTACATATTCGAGTACAAGGCTCCATATTTCAACAGGGAGTAGCCCTACAAGGACATGGCTCTTTTCTGGATCCATAGACTGGGATGAATTTTGATGTGAAGATAGGTTAGGCTGAGATGGCAAGATGCAGGCAAGACTTGGGTCGCGTGAGGTTTCGCGGGGTTATCTGGCATGCAAAGCTTCAACAAGCACTGGTCAAAATAGAGACAGTAGTCCGGGGACCCTATTTTTGCCTCTGACTCAGGAGCCCAGTGGGGCTATATCGCCTGGTTGTTGTAGTTTGGAGTGAGGGCGAGAGCCTGAGAAGCAAAGCGGCATGCAACGGAGAAAAGGCGGGTGACTTGACAGACAATCTCACTTCTTGCCTACGCTCATTCCGAGGGACTAACTAGCTGTGTTTAGGGCTTACGACTCTAACTCTGTGAAGGCAGTCTAAAAATAAAGAAATTGGATTCACGAGCGCTAATTAATCGGTTATATGGGCGTTTATCTCACTAGCTGTTCTGAACCCAGGCGAACCCCCATTGAGAACTGACATTCGGGCATAGTGTATTTCCCTTTCTCTTTATTTCTTTCTTGCTTTCTTTTCCTCAATCTATCATCTACTTCGTTCTTCCGTCAGAATACACGAGTAATGCTCCAACCCACGCTGATGATTTTAGTGACGACCAAGAGCACAGTCGACGTGGCATACGCAGCTCCACAGAACATCACCAGACCCGAATAATCAGTTTCCTCTCCCGACTTCCCAGGGTTCTGCGCTCCCAGAATCTCCCCGGCAATCGGGATGGACACCAAAATCGCCAGGCCGAAGATCGCCGTCGTCGTTCCATATCGTTTGCCATAATCCTCGGTCCGCGAGATCTGCGCGATACACACCGGCGACAAACCCACTGCCGGACTGCTCCAGAACCCAAAAAACGCCGCAAAGGTCACAATCGCCGCGGTATCCTCTCCCGCTTTCATCCACAACGCAAGGACCAAGAGCATGCTCACACTGCCAGTGACGATCATGACGTTGTAGCGACCCCAGTGGTCAGCTACCAGGCCCGGAATGACTCGTCCAAGGATCAGTGTGGCGCTGAAGATGGACATGAGATTGTATGACAGGGAGCCGGTGACCCCATGAGAGGAAGCGTAGGAGGGAAGATAAGTGATCACGACCATCATACCCACCTCTGCGAAGCTGACCGCTACAGAGGCCACTGTGAAGACTGGTTCCCGGAGACATCGCAAATCCATCGTGCTACCGGACTTCTTGTTGGGAGGAAGTCGGGTTCGAACAAGGACCAGGCCGACGGCGAAGAAGAGAATGGAGATAAATCCAAGAACTCGTATCGTCCACGGAAACCCGATCTTTTTGAGAAGCTCCCCCATCAACGCAGAAAAAAGGATACTTCCGATACCACCGGAGGTAGTCGCTATCCCTGTGGCGAGTCCTCGGCGCTTCAGATACCAGTGGTTGATCGATCCGAGACTTGGGGTTAAGATGGCTGACGAGGAAAGCCCACCCAGGATACTAAAGCCAAGTATGAATTGGTAATACTCTTGGTGTTGTCAGCCTACTTTGTCTCAAGTTTGTGTCTTTGTGTATTTTGTGCATGTTGATCAGTCGATTTCGAGATACTCAAAGCCCTGAGAGCTGCGACTTGCTGAGATACACAGGAAACATTCTGCATATGGGGCAATTTGGGACATTCCGTCTGCTATTCAATTTCCGCATGTTGGGCTATTGTGTATACTATTGTGTATCTTGTGCAGTGGGGCTTTTGGGGGGTTGGGGGGCGTTGGGGCATATAGACCAGTACCTTCTGAGACGCTCAAAGCCATTATAGCTGCGCACATGCCGACACATCCCGGAACAAATGTATACTTCAGTCCGTAGGAGTCAAATATTGGTCCTGCCGGTAATCATTAGATGCTTGGCCCGGAGAGTTGTAGCGAACGGATTGGATTGGCATTCGCACCTACTTGGATACCGCCGAGCCAAAACAGACAGTTGTATAGGCTGAAAATCCACGACACCGAGGCCGTGGAGCGATCCTTCAATTGGTTGTCTTCTAACCATTCTTGCAAGATTCCGGTGATATTCATTATCGCAAAGGTGGGAAAAAGCGCACACCACACGCCAAACACCACCAGCCATGCGTGTTTTCCTCCATCGGGATAGTCCGATAAGTCCTCGGCATATTCAATCGGCTCATCAATTGTCCCAAGTTCATAGTTCGGTCCCCGCGCATGCTCAGACACCGTTGATACCGTGACCTGGGTGCCACTGGTTGAATGCATAGTGATAAATAGGCAAAATTGTAATAACAAAGTGTGCGGGAAATGATTCTCAATGGGGTCCAGGGGAGGAGGTTTATCATAAAATTTCCCTGGCGGAGGAAGTAAAAGAATGGGCCAAAGAAAGATGGACAATAGTCCCTGGCCGATCACTAAGCTATTGCTGTTTACCTGCTCAATTGAATGCCGGCATCCCTTGCGCCGATCGGATCTGCTTGATGTACTTACATACATTCCAGTTCTCCTATATTACGCAGCCCTGTTTCAAATCTAGAAAGAATTTTGTGAAACTAGACGGAGCCAATGCTCGACGCAGCGGGTCTGACTCCGTACAACCGCAGCTTCTCTATGCCTACGTTGTGGGAAGGCATTCGATGATGGGAACTGATACATGTCGATCATTGGCAATATCACATTACAATGTCACATTGGAACTGACGGGCAAAACATAATTGTTCTGACATCCCTATTAGAAGTCAGACTTAGAAAAAGCAACGAAGGGAGAAATGTAGGGGATGCTTATTTCAACCAACTCTACCAATGCCGAACTATCGATATCACACAGCCTTGCTTTTTCCCCTTCCTATAGCACCCTCCGGTCTTTCCCGTGTACCCATGAGACTGATACAGAGATGCTTGGTTGCTTTCGCCTTATTCTCCGTCTCCTGTCGTCCGGTCGATATTCTGCGGTGCTTCTAAAGTAAGAAACAAAGGAGCATTTCTGCAGAGCCATCTACTAGTGGATAATCAACTGCCTCCGACATGGAAACGCCGCAGAAGTCTGCATAGTCACTCTGCGGCCAGTCCCAACAAATCAAACTTCTGTGGGTCAAGGATCTTTTAATATCACGGTGAATACTGCGAGTACATGTGCGCAAGGCGCAGCTGGGATCATGCAATCTTTCGGGGACCTTCATAGAAACAGGTGACAATTATCTTAGACATATCACGATTTGGAAATTAAGGAAGTTAGTACTCTGGTGTGTACTGTACATTATATTCACTGCTTTTAACGAATTGTACGAAGTATGGCGGAAGATTGAGTTCACTTCGCTTTTCTGTACCTCTCGTGTGATTCATTTGGATGTCAAATGAATCCAGACAAAGATATGAGATTATTCTACTGATGTATATATACTTGTGTCCGGCAGAGGCCTATCAAGTTCTAAGTCTATCTTCTAGATACTTCAAGACCAAAATCAAATGAGAATTCGATAGTTTAATGGGGACACCGGTTTCCGCAAATCTGGAAGGCCTATGATTCACTGTAGATCACCCGTGTTTGGGATATCTCCGTCATAATTGAGCATTTCGAAGTGAAGTGAAGAGTAAAGCCTCAAGAGGTGTTGCACATATCATTCACTGCGCAAGTGTGGTAAGATTCATTGTTGAGTCTTTTGCCTGTCAGGTGATCTCTGACGTGGGCTCCTTCTCTTTGTTTTCCTTCCCTGACAACTGCCCTCTTCCTTTCTTACTCTCTCACCTTCTTCCACAATCACAACACAAAGCATTTCCATCACTGCAAACATCTTTGTCTTTGTGAAAACTGCCCTTTTTAAAACCCCAAACTCAAACTCTCTTCAAAAACAAACCTTTTCCCTATCAACCATCTCCACCCACCATCAACATGGCGAGACGCGCCTCACTGCGCAAGAAAAGCGCCCCCAACCCTCCACCAGCCCCCAAATCCACCACCAAAAACGCCGCGATTGGCCGAAAGAGAAAGGCTCCAGCGGGAGCGGCGCCCGCCTCTGAAACCTCTGCAAGGGGCCCGAAGCGCCAGAAAGATCAGTTCCCGCATGATCTCATCGGCGTAGATCCGACTGAGCTGAGCTGTCTGACTAATGGTGATACAGCGTCTTCTACCATTTTCAACGTCGTGCCTTCCCAGAAGCTCGACGTCTATGCCTGTGGAACCAACTGCTACGGCGAGCTTGGACTCGGCAACCTGTGGCGCAAGTCTGAGTTCGCGCGTCCAATTTTGAACGGCAACCTGGCTGCCGAGACTGTCGGTGTCGTTCAGCTCACTGTCGGGGGGATCCACTCGGCAGCTTTGACTTGTGATAACAAAATTTTGACTTGGGGAGTGAACGATGATGCCACTCTTGGAAGAGATACCAAGGATGATGCAAAGGATGAAGTCATGGTTGAAGCAAAGCCTGAAGACAGCGACAGCGACGATGATGATGTTACTTTGAACATGAAAGAGGCTACCCCCCTTCCCGTTGATTCTTCCCTCTTTCCGAAGGGAACTATCTTTGCGCAGCTTTCTGCGACAGACAGTGCTACCTATGCCCTGACCACCGACGGCTTGGTGTATGGATGGGGCACATTCAGAGTACGTATCGCGCCCTTTTAGTGAGAAATTGGCATACTAACTGAAAATACAGGGCATCAACGGAGAGATCGGATTCTCATCCTACAACCAGTCCAAGCAGGTGACTCCCCTTTTGATCCCGGGGCTGAAGAACGTCACCAAGCTCGCCGCAGGAGCGCAGCACATGTTGGCCTTGACCTCAGCCGGCACTGTGTACAGCTGGGGCTGCAACGAACAGTACCAGCTCGGACGCCGCCGAACCGGTCGTTCGCGTGACGTCCACCCTCTTATCCCCGACCAGTGCGCCTTGCCTGCCGGCGCAGTCGACATCGGTGCCGGTATGTACCACTCCTTCGCTGTCCACAAGACCGGCGCCGTCTACGGCTGGGGCTCCAACAACTTCGGCCAGGTCGGCATCGCGTCCAACGCCGGCGAAAATGACGCCATCATACCCTATCCCACCCGCGTCAAGAGTCTCGCCAAAACTCCCAAGATCGTCCAGATCCACGGCGGCAAGGACCACAGCATCGCTGTCGATCAGAAAGGCCGGTGCTTGACCTGGGGTCGCATTGAGAACAAGGCCCTGGGATACAACCCCGAAATCCTCTCGGAGGACAAGATCATCTATGATTCTCGCGATAGACCTCGCATCTCTGTGCAGCCGCAGGCTATCCCCACTTGGGAAAACATCGTCTACGCCACCGCCGGCACCGATCACTCTTTTGCGATTTCCGCGGACGGAAACGCTTACTCTTGGGGCTTCAATGCCCAGTGCCAGGCTGGAAAACCATCGTCTACCGATGAAATAATCTTACCTACACTTCTTGACGGCAAGCATATTGCCGGCAAGAAGTTGGTCTCCGCCTCGGCGGGAGGCCAGTTCAGTGTTGTGCTCGGAGAACATGTCAGCGAATGAGTTTATGAGGAACCCATGAGACGAAGAAACGGTTATGGTCAGCGAATGAGTTTTTGAAAAATCTGTTATTGTAAGAGTCCACTGTTGGTCGGCGCTTTTGTTTTTGGATTTGTTGTTCTTGTTTGTCTTGTTTTTTTTTTTTTTTTCTCTTTTCTTTTTTCCTCTTGTTTCTCTCTCCTTTTTTCCTTGAACGTGTACAGAGTAAAGGGGTGTACATATCCTTAGAATGAGAAAAGTCCAGTCAACAGTCTCTTTCGACGTGTAGAGCGAGCTCATGGGGTTGTCAGTCATATGAGTCAGAAAATAGAGTATTTTAAGCTAAGGGCAAGACATTCGAATCCGCTCCACCTGATCTTAGCGTGCAGAACAACTGCCTATGGAGTAGTTGAGGGGTTGTTTTTGCATTTTACTCGATCCTGCGATGCACTTGTCTCACCATTCTTGACCGGTGCTGGAAAAGGAACGAGGATTGACAACGGAGGTGCCTAACAAACCACTCCGTCTGAGACATCTATCTAATAGAGTTCTAGCAGACTACGGAGTAGGTAATAGTATAAATATTTCACCCAGTACGGAGTACTTGCCTCAGCAATCAGCACCGAATTGAAGATTGAAGACGGAAGTAACATCATACGGACCACCCAATGTGCGACATGTCTTAAGTCTGGATCCATAATTCATTATCTATTGACCTAGTTTACGGAGTAACTGCCTACTAAGCAGGTGTATCTATAGTTAATGTGAACGGGATTGAACTGAGTAGGGAGGGAGTTCAGGCCTCGTCAGCTGGCTGCACTAGGTAGGCGGTTATTGGCGCCACAGTTTACATACCTACAGGACTCCGTGCATTCTGCATCGGAAGCCGTTTATGACAGCTCTAGATTCCGACCTTCTTTGTTTCTCCTTTCAGGGGAGGGAGTGCCAGCGGTTTTTCTTTCTCTCTGCGAACTGGTCGGGTTTCCTTCCTTTTTTGGTCTACTTGATTTGAGTTACTACTGTAGGTGCAAGTATGTATGAAGAACTGTGGCTGGATGTGAAACGAGAATCGAACGGGCGGGAAATGCAACCTCGGGCTCAAAGTATATACCGAGAAAGAAGCAAGAGTGGATGGAAACTGGAATGTGGTGGAGTTTAACTGTCAAGCTAGTTCATCCATCCGGTCGGGGCGAAACTGGCAGTTGACAGTTGATAGCAGTGTTGTGTAACCAGGACATTTATATTCATCGCAGGTGGAAATATGATTTCAATTTGGGAGTTCCTCAAGGATTACAGGGCGGTGGCTGTGTGTGCAGGTGTCCGAACTAAGGATTGAAGACGAAGAGACTAGACCTGATTCAGGGGCGACGGTCACGGGATGAGGCCATTTGCGGACAAAGAAGAGTTTGGATCCTTTGATCTTTTGATCTGAGCAACCCACGAATGTAACGCTGCCGGCTGCATCGACAAAGCTTGTTTCTTTCTACGGAGTAGTTCTCTTTCTTTCCTTTTTCACTGCTGCCTAGTCCTCTCATTAATCATGATTCATTAGGCAGAATTAACCGAGCGAGCGTCCCATCCAGTTCACCAGAGTCCAGTTCGTTCTCACCAAGAAGCCAGCCGCCGAAAGTTCAGCGAGATTTCTCCAAGAGGAAAAGAATCTGAATCCTTGGTCACTCTTGACGGGGGGACAAATCAATTGCGTGGACCCTGAGAACGCGGCTGCAAATCATTCTTAAAAAAAGAAGACCAACTCTTGGCAGGTGGGTCGAGCGAAAACACTTAGCGCTTGGCCCCCCAATCTTTACGTCAAGGGCCGATGATCTTGGGGCGCGGATTCGAGGGGGAAAACTTGGAAGACACTGTGCGAGAGACATTGTTGGTTTGGTCACAAATCACAAGAGTGAGGAAGAAACTCCCTGGTCTGACAATCTGACAACAGACCAGGATAGTATTCCGTCAGTTCAGACGGAAGGATTCAGTTTCCGACCGGGGGACCCTTGTTTCAGGACTCGGGTACCTGGCGCCGGTTAGCATGGCGTCTATTTCGCCTGCCAACGCTTGATTCCTGGGATATTTGGGGATGCGGGCATAGAACTGGTGTATATTGTGTGTGCGAGAAGTAGGATGACGATAAAAATGAAGGTGAATAGGATCAGGCGAACAATTGATTGCCTCCTCTCCCGACCGATCAGGCAGGATCTACCGCGATCAGACCGGGCAACGCGTTAATATTCAGATCATCGGGGAAAACCTGGCAGTTCAAATTGGACCCTTTGAAGGTGGGACTGCAGGCCCGTCCAGGAGTGGCTGAGCCTGAAGAGGGCTAAAAGGGATGGGATTGGAGATGGGATTGGAGATGGCCATCTCCCTAGAACCATAATGACAGAGAGACTGGAAACCAGAAAATAGAATCGGAATCAAAGCCAGTTAAATGAGGTGAGAAGAATGGAAGGAACCGAATTAACACGACCGAGGCGGGAAATTGCGCCGCGCCAACACTTAATTTGAGTTTGGCGGTACACCAAAGCTTGAACGGCGGTAGGACGTTTCAGTTTCACTCTCCTTTGCGCAGTTGATCGCCGCGCCATTGCAGCCCCAGGCAGGCACCCCTGACCGTTTGAAGCCGGTCTGGTCTGCGATAGCTCTTAGCTACCGTCCCCACCCTTGTGTGCCACTCGCTCTCTTTCCCCTCCTTTCTTTTCCTTTTTTTCTTTCTCTCTCTCTCTTCTCTTCTTTCCCCTCCTTTCCTTTCCAACCTACGATGCAATCAATCCCCTTCCGGATTGACGTGCCCTCGGCCCTCCTTTCTGCTTCATGGCGCTCCCCAGCTGCTCTCGTTGGCGCCTGCGACAAGGTTACTTCCTGTACCTCTTCTACGTCATCGGTATCCTCAGCACGTTTTGCATCGTTGCCATCTGGTATGGCGTCAATTCCGATCGCGACTACATCCATCCCCTCTTGACTCAACTCATCCCCGCCGGCCACTGCGCGTGCCAAACCTCGACCACCTTCCAATGCTCCAGCTGTCTCTCCTGCTCGCAGCCCACGGCACTACCTCAACCCCCGTCATCCCTCTGGGAATTCCAAGTCGTTCGCGATGGTAACAACGAATCCCTGGATCGCAACCAATGCCAGGCCGCATTCCCCGGCCTGTTCGAGGACACCGCCCGCGCCGTGAGATACTGGCGATCGCACGGCGCGCTGTCGACCGAGGAGTTGGACCTGATTCGACTCGAATGGGGCATGGCACGGGCCTTCATCCACCGCGGCGAATTACATGTGGTGGCCGCGCGTGCCAAAGCGGAGGATCATCGGCGCAAAATCCTCGCCGTCCTGAGTTCCATCCATCGCGCGCTGGTCGCCGACGCCGATCGTGCCACGCGCCCGGACATCGAGTTCGTCTTCTCCGTTGAGGACAAGGTTGACGACGTCACCGACTCGGAGAACCCGGTCTGGGTGCTGGCGCGCTCCGCCTCCGAGGAGGCTGTTTGGCTGATGCCTGACTTCGGCTACTGGGCGTGGGAGAATATCCAGAACTCGATTGGACCGTTTGACCAGGTCGTGGAGCGCGTCAAGCGAGCCGACCTCTCGTGGCCCGAAAAGAAGCGCCAGCTGGTGTGGCGTGGAAAACCCAGTTTTGCCCCCAAGTTGCGTCGCGCCCTGATGGAGGCGGCGCGGGATAAGCCGTGGGGCGACGTCAAGCAGGTGGACTGGGACGACCGCACCAACATCCTGCGTATGGAAGATCATTGCCAATATATGTTCATAGCGCATGTAGAAGGTACGTTCCACCCTTCCCCTCTCCTCACGCCCAGCTTCAGCAAAACCGGGAAATTGTACTGACCGCATCTACCATAACACAGGTCGCTCATATTCCGGTTCTCTCAAATATCGCCAAGCCTGCAACTCGGTTATCGTGGCCCACAAACTGCAATACATTCAGCACCACCACTATCTGCTCGTTCCCGACGGCCCCAACCAAAATTACGTCGAAGTGGAGCGCGACTTTAGCGACTTGTCCGACAAGATGAGTCCGCTCTTGAACGACTCCAGCCGGGCCGAACGCATCGCCGCCAACAGCGTGCGCACCTTTCGCGACCGATATTTGACCAAGGCCGCCGAGGCCTGCTACTGGCGCAGCCTCTTCGACGGGTACTCCAGCGTCTGGAACAGCACCGTGCCCGTGTGGTCGGGGATCTACCAACGCGAACGGGGGCTACGATACGAGTCGTTCATTCTGCTGGATAGCCACATGATGTTCGAATTTAAAGCCACGGGTGGTCACACACCTTGAACGAATTACCTTACTGCATTACACATTACATCTAAGTGAACTAATCATATGGACGGAGGGAGACAACATCATCATGCATAGTACCGGAGTTGGAGTTGGGAGTCTAAGCGCATATCTACACGGGACAGGTGTACAAAGCTCTTGCATACCCTTTGCTTTTATTTTATTTTATTTTTTATTTTTTTTCTTTTGGACGGTCTGTTATTTCCCTGGAGATACCTGATGAGCGTGGTTTTCTTTCGCTGTTATTTCATCCCTCTTGACCGCCATCTACCTGTCCGTATCTTTGTACGGAAAGGATTGTCCGTATACCTACCGCTTGATCGCATACTTTTTGCGAGAAATATATACATCTGAGATCTATACCAATTTAATCTTATCTACACGTAGACCCAAAATTTATACTGTTTAGGGATTACCCCGCAAACAGCAATAACATGGTAACCGTGGATGAGTACCTCCACGTCATATGACTCGGGCGGATTTAGTTTCCGTAGACCTGGCCGGTTCCTACTCCCGATTCAACACCTTGGAGCATCGCCTCCATCCATCCGGCTTTCTAGTGATTGCTCGATCTAAACAATTTCATCCGGGCTTCGTACTCTTCTTTTCGGGTTCTTCATATCGCTTATTCTGTCTATATCTCATTCGCAGACACTGTCGCCTCTACGGAACCGCCATTCACCATAAAAGACTCAAAGCACAAAACCCGCGAGCACATCATTAGCTACATCCCAGTTCTTCTCAATGACTGTGCATCGAAAATTGCTGATTCGACATCAATTCGAATACTCGGCGATATTTCGAACTCCATTCTTGATTCCGAAGATTATCAAGTGTCTATATCTCCATTTGTCTCAACGATCCAGGATTGTCTTCGCGAGCATCAGCCCGACAAGCCGACCCGCTTTCTTGCCGTGAACATATATCCTGGAAAGCACTCTTATTTCGTAGTCGACTATGACTACGCAACCGCCCATGAGAATACAACACCAATCCCCGTCTACGTGCTTCGCCTATCGAAGAGAACGCACAATGTACAGGAAAGAGACTCTAGATCAAACAATTGCCCGAGAACTTGCAGCAATGCACAACGGCCATGGCCAGAGCCCTCTGCCTTTGGTTAACGATTATAATAATAATATTCTTCGATACCCCAACCCTCGCAGTCTTCAGCGTTGATGCCTTTCTTTACTCTCTTTCTTTATTTCCTCATCTTTCCTCTCAAACGTTTCTTTCTCCACACGATCCATGAGGACAGAAACAAACTTTTCTCTTAGGCTAGAATAAAAGAAGGTGTGGTTTTTTAATTCTGGATCTCGCACCTCCGATTAGGAATACGTATGTTCTAAGTAATTAGTCTATTCCAGCAAATTAGTGATTGGGCAACTAGGTATCGCATTCCCATTTGGGAATACGAAGTCCCAATTTAGTTAGGCGAGTTCCCCATCTCGGCGATCGACGCCGATAGCGAACGACTACTAGTTTGTATTTAAAGAGCCTGTAGTTTTCGCATCTTCTCATTCATGGAGGAATTTCTCCCACACCCTATATCTCCATCTCACTCTGTTCATCGATCCATCCAGACACAAATCTGCTCGACGCAATGGCATTCCCTGTGGAACTCGACATCTTGGGACAGCACCCTATGCTCAGATTGATGTACACAAATCTAAGCTATATCTTCCGTTTAAATGAGAGTCCACATGATTCTGCCACGGAACCTGTCATCCAGACCCTCACCACCGGCCTACAGTGTTTTTCTGAATACTTCCCATGGATAGCTGGACAGGTTGCAGGCACGAGGGCTGGGGAAGGCGGCTCCGAAGTTCCCAAAATCATACCGTTCGAAGAGACACCTATACTTCAGAGAGTATATCGGCCAGAATTTACGATTCATGCCTTTAGAGAGGCAAATTGGTCTATGCGAATGCTCGATCCAGACGTGTTTGCACCGCGCCTGATTCCTCTCGGCCAGGCTCCCAGCCCATCTGATCCGGCGCCGGTATTCCTCCTACGGGTAACATTCATCACAGGCGCTGTCGTGGTTACATTTGCGGCAAACCATAGCGCCATGGATATGACGGGACAGACTACAATGATACGACTATTGAGTAAGGCTTGCCATGGTATCGCATTCACAGAAGAAGAGCTGCGTCTGGGAAACAGGAAAATGGATGTCGACCTTGGTTTACTGGGGAACAAAGATGATCAGGAACTCAGAGCAGAGATATCCTGTCAACTCAGCAGAAAGATAGATCTCCAGACAGCCGATCCAGCCACCTCGACGCCAAACCCTGGAGATGATGGTTCTAGCGAGCCGGCGAAGGTTACTTGGGCATATTTTCAGGCAGTTCCGTCGTCTCTGGCGAACCTCAAAATGAAAACGACAGAATCAGTCCCTAATTCCCATTTCGTGTCGACAGACGACGTTCTTACTGCATTGATCTGGCAAGCAATCTCTCGTGCGCGCAGCTCTCATCTCCACGTTTCCACGAGGTTGTTATTGGCAAGAGCAGTGGATGTGAGGAAGGCGATGGGCGTCGCAGACATGTACCCGGGCATGATGCAGAACATGGCATTCAATAACATGACTGTCGAGGAGGTCTTAGACATGTCTCTTGGCACAATCGCGACTAGATTGCGAGACAAGTTGGGCATTTACGACCTTGGACATGCGATGCGAGTGATAATGACGTTGATGAACCGCCACCCGCACGAGTCACCTATTCTGAAGTATCTCAAGCCATCTCACGATGTCATGATCACTTCCTGGGCGAAGATGGACTGTTATAGCGATACCTTCAATCTGGGGTTGGGAGGGCCGGAGAATGTGCTACGCCCGCGTTTACCGCCTATAGGAGAAGGATGGGTAAACTTGATGCCGAAGTCGGAAGAAAGGGGGATTTTGTTTGGAGTTTGTTTGAAGGAGACAGACATGAACTTGTTGAGGGCTGACGAACAATTTGGGGAATATGTGCATTATATCGACTGATCTCGGATAGCTAGCTTGGCTTATATTCGTATTTCAAAGAATGTTGTGCTGTGATATGAGGCTGGTGTAGATTAGGAACCGAGCCACACCATCGGAAATAATTTCCGATGCGCCTGTACAAAGAACCAAGCAAACAATCCTAGATGTACAGACAGAAATTGACGCCACGACAATTAAGTTCTTTTATGATCAGCTCCTCCATCAAGCAGCTCCTGCCATGTGCCCACCAGCATCTGTTTGATGGCAGAAGCCGGCCCACCGCTTGATAAAACTGAAGGATAACAACGAGAGCTCGCGAGTCTTCTTCGAAAATTAACTTGGCAAATGGTCCACAGCAGAGAATTGGAAATCCAAACAAAAGCTGCTCAATGTCCGATTGCCGCGCTACACCCGAGTACCCCCCCGCATTTGATGTGGACGTCGTAAGAGATGCACAGCACAAGAGAGGCGACAAACGACGTATGATGTATGTAAACAATGAGCGAGGTGAGTTCGAAGGCACAATTGTCGTACCTCGGGAGTCTTCCGAGGAATACTTGATACAAATCCTTGTGACGACATCTTTCACATGCATCAATATTCTTTCATCATGGATTTCCGATACTGAAGCCGACGGGGGTTGGGGGCATTCTTTATGCGATGGAGTTTCCTTTTCCAAGCCAGAAAGGAATCCCCAAGCACCGAATGTAGGTCCATTATTGGCTATTACGGGAGTCCCTAAGTTCGAAGGCTGGTCGGGTATATCTCCCAAAATTTCTATGAATGGCTCCACGAAATGCTCTGGGTCCACACCACGTTGCCTTAGAGCTTCCTCGATATAGAGCCTTGGGTGGTGAAATATCATCTCTGTAAAAATGCTTCCTTTGTCGATGAAGATGGGAATAGCCTGAAACCATAGTTGAACAATGCACGGGCTAAGAAAGAATAGCTGGTCCTGGCTGATGTTGAGTTTCACTGTGGGGTGGGCATTTGGCGAAGTATCCAGGAAGCCAAGGTCAAACCAGGATATGTAGTTAATCAAAAGCGCCGTTCCCATGAGTGCCTCGCAGTTTTCTTCTGTGAGGGGATGCGATAAGCTTTTGCGAAAGAGGTTAATTGCTCGGGACATCAGCTGCGTTGAATAGCGCGCATATTTAGCGCTCTCCGGCTTAAGAGTTGTGAGGTGCATAGCGGCAATGCATAGAATAGCGGACATAATAGACTGGTCCTATATTGAGTAAGCGAAGGCGCAATTTATCTGAAAAGGGAAGGCGGGTATACATCAAAAGAGCGTTGCATAATACCTGGCCAGACTTGTGGAAACAAGAGGGTCGACCGGGTTTCCTTGTCCCAGTGATAGAATAGCTCCAAATGCAGCAGGCTAATCTGAGGATGAAGATCTACTTCGAGATATGGGCTTGGTTTGGAGAGAACCGGGGCAACGATACGACCATAGGGAGAAGATTGACATTGAATATTGCGTTTGACGCATCTGGAGCACGGGAGGCTCTCATCACACTGAAAAATGAGCCTAAATTTTCAGAGACAGATGATGGAAGAGCAAAGGTATCGAGACGTACCTTGACTTTCCGAAGTTTGCATGCGATACAACCTCGCCTACTCTTGGTGTGGGCGCGCTTCTTGCGCGGCTCATTCGTATTTCCGATGGTGTGTATTCTGGGGAATTCGCCCACCGTGGAGGGTAGCAGAATCGTATTTGTAAAGGAGGCGGGGATTGAGGTCATGGCGTTTGAAGGGCTGGCGAATGAACATGGGAGGATAGAAGCAAACCTTTCTCTTGGGCATGAAGAATCTCGCACCTCCGATTAGGAATACGCATGTTCTAAATACCTAAATCTGTTCCAGCAAAGTGGCGACTAGGCAACTACCGCATTCCCATTTGGGAATACGGAGTCCCAATTCAGTTAGGCGAGTTCCAGATGATGAGCCAAGGTCGGTGGATCGATACAAACGACTTTTTGCAGATCCTGCATTCATTCGTTACCACCTTTACGTGTGAAGTCGGCAGGTATCTTATGCAAAAATTACAAAAATCTAGACTTCTTATCTTACCTTCATCCCGGCCCCCTCGCGCTTCTCATCCTTTCCGGTGTCTCCGAGACTTATATCTGCTCAATATGCAACCCGATGAGCTTCCATATAGTGGCTGTTGTCACTGCGGTTTATTCAAATACATCGCGTTAACCTCAATGCCATCAGAGACCGCAAGTCCTGCCTTAGTTTCGCCTTCGCAGCCCCACTTCTACAAATGCAATTGTTCGATGTGTCACAAATCGAGTTTTTTTTCATATGCGTCTGCCAGATGCCGCCAATCAATCTTTTATCCTTTCGCTGCTTGATACAGATGTTCTTGTTAAGTACCAATGCAATAAACGGCTGGTAAACTGGCTCTTTTGTCCCAGGTGTGGTGTTCGATGCATGGGTGCCGCAGCACGTTGGAAGAAAGACTATATGGACCTGACAGCCCTCGGGTCGGCGTCATCGAGCTCATTTGGAACGGGCACAGCAACTGCTGGCCAAACTACGGGTAACGGGCTCTCTGTCTGGCGAATAGAGCCGGACGGTTATAGAGAAAACGAGACTGGGTATTTGACTGTGAATGCGCTCACAATCGACCAAGACCAGCCTCATGGGCTGAATCTCGATTTACGCAAACTTGCTGATCTGAAGAGGCTAGAGTATTTGGATTGCAAGGACCGAAAATCAGTTCTCAGATATGATTATCAGCAGGATGGAGGTGCTTGGTAAGGACCAGCCGAACTGTTATCTAGAAAACAAGATTTATGCTGTATACCCTCCATAGTGGGGCCCCCACACTGCGGAGTGTACGGAGTAAAATAATAGACAGAAAGGAATTCAGGGTGTCCACGGAAGACGTTGCGAGTTCATAGAAGGCACTATATGCCTATAAAAGACGTCGTGTACGCATAGAATAAATGGTACGCTCTAATTAAGTTGCGGGATTATCTGTCTCACACCTGTTCCACAACGTCCGATTTTAACCGAAAAATAGATGTGGCGGTCGATGATTCCGTTACCCTGACTCAAATCTTGACAAAGATCGGTTCATTAAGCATTCCAGTACGGCGTGCAACATTCCTTTGAACATTGCCCTGTTTCCAGCTTTTGCCGTTTCCCAGATCTCTGGAGGAATTCATCCATCAGATACACTGACAAGCAAGCTTGACAAATCACGCTTCAAGTTCTGGGCCGCTTCAAAACATCTGTATTCCTTCTGATGCAAATCTATCGCTTCTGGACTTGGCAAGGAAAATGGACACGAGCCGGAAAATCCGAGTGCTTCCCAGTCTTTCGAGGTCTCAATAAGCTCATACCGAAAAGCAACTGCGCCATCTTTCCATGTTCTGTGGCAGTACCTAAAAGGTCGAAATAGGCCCTCGTTCATCAACCGAGGGTGAGCGAGCCTCGGGGTAAGAAATTGAGTACAAATTTCGTAGGCTTTTGTACATAAATCGTCGTCATCTACCCTTTGAGCAGATGATCCCGAAGATGAACAAGTCGCGAAGTCCGGATTCTCATCTGCATACCAGAAGGCTGGTTTTATGCTGGATGATTGCCAATCAATGACACCGGTTATTATTGAAGGATCATCATCTGAAACAAATATGTTTCTTTTATGTAGATCGGGATGAAACAAGGTCGGCACAGCTGCATCATGCACCCCGCTATCTGTAGAAATTGCATTTAGAACCGTTCGACCATTTTCGAGAAGCTCCAAATGAGTTTGAACCGAGCCATGATAAAATGGCCTATTTGAGAGCTGAGAATCTCTTGGTGGGATTCTTGACAGGTCTGCGTCGACAAGGCCGTCAGCAAATGCGCTTATCGTTAACCCTGTATCTCAAGTCTTAGCCCTCATCTTCTCAAGTATTAATGTTAGAACGTACTCACACGGGCCATGATTGGGAATCCCATGCTTGTAATAGCTGCGGTCTCCGCAGTTCCAGTACCTTGTTCCGCAGTGGGGTCCAAGGCAAAAGTCGCCTTGTATTGGCAGTGTGGAGAAAGATCCCAACAACGAAGTAGAAAAATATAAGCTTCCATAGGCCGGAAAGTCGATGTCGGCGACCTCTTTAAGCTTTCTGTAGATGGCGTCTATACATTTAACTTTCTGATCTCCTGACATATAGGACCATTTCTGGTGTAGCTGAATACCGGCCACATGCTCCATGACGATGTATTCACTTCCAACACAGTTCATCGCATCGTCGCTCCAGTCAAGAATTTTAGGTATCAAAATAATAGTATTTCGTTGTACTATATTCGTCCAGGGTGAAAATTAACACCCTGTTGCAACCACCTTCTTTTTTTCTGCAATTCTTGATACATTTTGCTCCATCGAATAAGCCTAATATCTTCCGGCAGAGTTCGTCAAAGTCGAAGTCAATCCGGCGTAAATGGCGTTCACGATTGTCGTTCCGGAGCAATCGACCACTTGTGTATGATTGAGGATCAACCCTTAGAATCATATCATTATAAACAAACGTACACTACACAATCATCGATCGGGCTTACCGTGTACCGTTGCTTGGTCCATTGCACGCCCCGAGAAAAACTGCACGCGGCCGAGTTTGGAGAAGGGGGTTTCGGAAGTGATGTTGCGAATGACGGAAGGTCGAATGTAACAAGGCGGTTGAGGATAAAAGTCAATGGTAAAGTCACTCGTGATATCCAGGATGCCTTTGTGTGGCTCTGGGCTCATCGTGTGGAAGGATTGGAGTGCAGTGATGCTTCTTAAATCGTTTGCTGTTTAGGCTTGACGTTTGCCAAGACCGGACCGACGAATGTCACAGTACGTAGTTAACTACTTGTCGCCGCGTATATACACTAGAAAAACCCTTACTACTAAGGGTTGACCCTTTTTAGTGTAGCGGTATTTTTCTGCCACACTACTGTTAGGGTGGCCTTGTCCACTTCAGGTTTAGTAGTCAGCTGTAGTAGCCCCAAGACAGTCCCCACACCGCTCTATATTAGGAGCCCTCTCACGACTATCCGTACCTGATGGCAGCCGACGCTCTCGCTATTGAGTAAGGATAACTACATAATCTATTAGCTAGCGAGTAATTACGACCCTTCTCTCATTACCCGCATATAGACAGAACGTATAGTAACGAGACGAAAATCGGAAGATGAAAGATCTCATTTACACCCCTAGTCTTCCCACATTATTCCAGCTTCTGCTTGCCCTTTTGCACCAACTCGTTCACCACCCGGTTATATTCCGCGGTTTTGTCCTCAGTCGTGGTGGCACCATGGCTTGGGGTTACAAAATTTGTTCCAGCAGGATGAATGGTGAGCATTTAGATCTCGCTCGAGAGTAGCATATGTTTAAAGACTCCATAGGCTTCCTCGGGTAATAGAAGCACTTTGAACCCAAAAATTTCATGTGCAATGATATGTATGGCTCACAGGCTTGATCAGTTTGTTAAATAAACATTTGTACTGTAGCTTCCAGGTGTTTAGTCGGATGGAAAATATTCCTTGCCAGTACCGCTCTGTAAACAGAGTGCCGCAAGGCCTAGGGATCACGAGTGAGCTCAGAACAACATCTTAAGTTTGAGCTTGTCCAGTTTAACGATCTCGTCTTTCATCTCCACAAGCTCCTTCATGTCCCATGGGCAGCTCACGTATCTCCCGCCCAGCCACTCTCGGCGCTCAGCTGCTAACCACGCAATCGTATCACCTGCAATCTCTGGCCGATCAGGGAATAAGTCTCTGACCTGCTCCGGCATGTCCTCAGAAATCTTTGTTTTAATCGCACCGGGATTCACACAAAAAGCCAAAAGCCCTTTATCGCCGTACTCTAACTGTAAAGATTCTGTCCATCTCAATATCGCAAGCTTTGAGCTTCGATAACTTCCGCCTCCTGGGCGGGCGGTCAGAGCTCCTGAGGAAGATACATTGATCATTATGCATAAACCATCAGCATTGGCACAAGTCGACAGTTGCATAGGGAGGAATATGCGTGACATGTTGAAGAGTCCATGAACATTGACTTCCCATGTCCTCCAATACACATCCGGATCTGAGTCGAGGATTGGCTTGTAGGGTTCCATATGGGCCGCGTTGTTAATGACAATGTCTAGGCGGCCATCAAAGACTCGCGCCACGATGTCATGCATTGCTTGAACACTTTCTTGGCTTGCAATATCAACAGTGCAGCTTAGCACCACAGGTTCGGGGCGACCGGCTAGCGTTGCCACCAACTTCAACTTCTCAGCAAGGTCGGCCGATACGCCGTGGAGGTCTGCTATCGCTATCGCAGCGGCCCCCGCACGCGCAAAAGCTGTGGCCGTGGCATACCCTACTCCGTCCTCCCAAGCAGCACCCGTGATCAGAACATGTTTTCCGGCAAGGTCCAGCCTTAAGGGAGAAATATAGTCGTATGTTGTAGAATGACGGGTCGTTGTGAAACGGCCACCAGAGAAATCTTTGATCGCAGACATTGTGTAGTAGCAGGAGACCGTAATGCCACAAAGGTTAGGGACGGAAAAGAAAGGGAAGCGCTACAGACACACCCCCCTCCGCTCCTGACACACCCCCACGTGACTAGGTGCCTTAACGTAATTCCTAGGCGAGTGGGCCACACTACCGAGCGGGCCACCACTGTATTCCATATAAAATGGCAACTTTTTATGCTCTAATATCTCAACGACAAGTAGGTTCAGAGGTATAGTGTAAATTATTTAAGGTATATATACTTTTAGGATAACAAATATTTCTTGTTTTTTATTATATAGTCTTATATTTAGCTTCTAATTCTAGAATGTTATATAATACCAAAAATACAGCTGTTTTTTATGTTACCTAAAGATCTACTTAGTTTGGTGGGCTGAAACTTGAGATAGTTAATATAGACTATATTAATAGACTATACATTTGACCCTATACCTCTGAACCTACTTGTCGTTGAGATATTAGAGCATAAAAAGTTGCCATTTTATATGGAATACAGAGGTGGCCCGCTCGGTAGTGTGGCCCACTCGGTGGTGAAATACGTTAACTAAGTTAACTAACTAGTTAACGAGTTGTGCACTGAGCACGTGACCAAGCCATTTTAGGTCTTCATCCCGTCAAAATAGAGTTGTCTCTGCCATCACTTCAGCCCAAAATCCAACTATGAGCCCAGACCACCGACAATTCACATGCTTCAGGTTTGTCGGGCATATCGAATTGCGTACAAGAGCCAGCTCCTGCACAATGATCGAGACGACAAGATAATCCATATTTGCCCTTGGATGACTGGGAATGACGTCAATCCTTCCCTGTATCTGCAATCCTGCACCCGGGTACCAACGATGATGGCAACAAACCGAGAATCATAACGCAATTGAGCATACCGTGGGAGACCCGAATTTCATAATCCGGATGAGGTAACAGCGGCGGATTTAGGGTTGAACAGGCCTCTATGATGTTGGCGATCGTCAATCTTCGGTGGTGCAGCCCCTCAGATCAGATTCTGGAACGCAGAGTCCCTGGAAGAAAGTGGACTCAACTTTCTTGTCTCAGGCCAATCTGTGCCACCAAGGGGTTCTCGAAGGCCTGGGAATCGCGTTTCGTTGACGTACCAAATGCTGGTCACTGCAGGTCACTGCGATATGGGTGGTTCTGGGAACGGTGGACTGGCGCCGTCAGCATGACATCACCTAGTGTGTTGCAGCGTCGAAAAGTCGTCGACAGCGACATTGCAAAGCTATATAGCTATGCCATTGCACCGAGAATTCCAATCTGTTTCAAGTCATTCTACATCAATCCTCGGGACTCCTAATCCTATATCAACCGCAAATCTTTCATCCTAATACCTTTTCTCCAAACCACCAAACTCTATATCAAAATGGATCTTCAAGGACAGCCCATCCCCCGCGGTCCTACCACCACTAAGGTATGTTGCCAAAAGGCATCTGGCTTCCCAGCAAATTAGGTTTTTTGAGATTACTAACATGATTCCAGGTCACTACCGACCCCGAGGCTTATCGCAACCCCATCCACGAATCGGCTGGACCGGTTCCCGGTGACTCTCTTGCCGCCGAGTCTGCCACCAAGGGCGGTGCCTTCTCTGAGAACCGCAATGCTCAGCCTGATGCTGCCGGCTCGCGGGCCGCCAACACTTCCGGCGCCACTGAGCTGCCTTCCGCCCATGTCGGCGCTGCCCGTGAGAACCTAGAGCGCCAGGAGAAGTACCCCGAGGCCCTGGGTGGCCAGGGCGACTTCCCCGGCCCTCACATGCCTAAGTCTGGCTACGTTGGTGGCCCTACCGGCGCCAAGCAGGAACTTGGCATCGGACAGACCCAGGCCAGCGGCAGTGGCTACAGTCAGTACAACGGTGGCCAGGCCCCCACTTACGCAGCCGATGTTACCGGCCAGTATGCTGACGCTGCTCAATACGGCAAGGCCAAGCCTAAGGGTGTAAACATCTCTGAGGGCGGCTTCGACCAGAACCAGCCCAACGCCAGCTTCACTACCGACATTGGCTCCGAGAACGACCCTGGCCGTGCTGCCGAGCACAAGTTCCAGCGTTATGCTGCCGAGAGCGGTCCCGATGCCGCTGGTGGTCCTCGCCAGAAGAATGTTGACAACCAGACTCCTTGGGAGCACCTGCAGGCCGACCAGCGTGCTTAAATGGAGTTCGTTTGTTTTTTTTTGACGATTATGGGTTTACGAAGCTTTTGAGCGGGTTCTCATTGAATGTTTCTTTTTACTTTCAAGCCTCTCGGATGCAGAACATGTATTATATATGAATATCAACATTTTTAAAATATCTTCACCTTCCTTGATACCATCGTAGCGTTTCACAGAAGATATCTCCCTCCGGATACTTCACATCTTCTTCAACATTTTATACCTATCTCCCTCATCCTCCTGGTCTTGCCCATCCCCATCCTCATCATCATCCACCGGCACCGCCTCGATAACCACCTCATCCAAAACCCCCCCTCCATCAAACAAGACCGTCTCATGATGTATTCCCCAGCCAGCAACACCACCACCACCAAAACGTCCCTGTCTTTGCCTCCTTCCCTTCATCACTACCCTCCTCCAACAAACCCCCACACACTCAACCACCCCCATCGCCACGACCGCTAACCACGACATAGTGAACAAGATCGCCACAGGCGCCCATACCCGATCCGTGCGTCGTAGATGTCGCATCAAGGCGTAGATTGTCGAGGGTCGGCTTTGGGTGAGGTCAGGTGTAGGCGTGTCCTTCGCTCCCTCCTGGTTCTTTTTGTTAGGGAGCCATCCGGAGGATTTGATAGTTGAGTGTTGTTGGATTTGAGGGGAGGTGGGCGAGGAGGATGGACATCCTTCTTCTTTTTCTTGTTGGAGGTGGCGGGCGTGGTTGATGAATATGCCGTATTTGGGTACCACTTTTGGTTGTTGGTGTTGTGTGGTAGGGGGGTTAGGTTTGGGGTTTGGGTTTGGGTTGGTGAGGAAGGATGGCGAGATGAAGTGAGAGGAGTGAGTATTGGGATGCTGATGTTGATTGGGATTGGGATTGTTGTTGGTGTTGGTGATGTGGATCTGTGAGGGAGAGAGGGTTAGTATATTCACGCCATTGGTATAGTTTAGATATAGGGATTTTGATTCTGGAGAAGGTCGAACCTTTTGAAACTTTCCATGATTCCTGAATGTAGGATTCGATGATGATGAGAATGATGATGTCCACAACGAACTCGCATCTTGAGGTTGTTTCCCAGAAGCAGGAGTAACAGGCGTCCCTTGTACAAGACACACCGACCCGACGAAGAGATACATCGAATAATAAAGAAGTAACATGACGGGCACCTTTTTTTGCGACTGATTTGGGACCCCTTTTTATCTTGCTCAGTCGTGAGGAGTTGAGCTCGAGATGGCACCAGACTCAAATTCAACTACTGACCGAGATATGTATGTATGTTTGCTTTCTTCGGGGAGGATGGCGTTGAAGGACGTATTTATACCACCTCCTGTGTGTACATACTATCCGTACATGTGTTTTTTACACCGTAGAAGCCAAATCACAATGCGCCCAAGCTGTAGGATGAATCTGACATGAGTTGAATGACGTCCAATCTCCTTGCGTGAAATGACATTTTCGTATTCTGCGTCCTGGTGGTGCAGATCAATGGAATGGTTCGTGGTGGATCGTCGATTATTCCTGCATCCCTTGCTGCGGCTACTTGGAGTACTATTGATCGTTATACATGGAGGTGTACATGTAGGTATCAGGATAGGGCCGGATGCTGGGTAATGGATGTGGTCTTGCGCTATCAGGGAACTATATCTACTTTAATTAAGGTCCTGATCTTTCAATAGGGGAAGGGGGAGGGCGGATATAGATCCAGACTGGGCAGATGCGCAGGGGCCCAGTTGTCAGAATAAATCGTGCGCCCAAATCCCTACGTTCGCGTCCTGTCGACAATCCACAATTGACGTCCGTCTACGTAGAATGGAATCCAATGAACTTGATGGTTTAAATTCCACACTTTCCTGCCTGTTTTTTCGTACACCGATGTGAGAACGCCAAATTTTGCAACGGACATATCATAAAAGATCAACCCATGAACACGTCCCAAAGGCCCGAAACCCCTCGAAGACATGTCCTGTCTTGTCAGACAACACGAAGTGGAACTGTACAGCCATACCAAGACAAGAAAAGCAAAACAAGAGGGGGAAAAAACAAAGACCTTGAAATTAAAGATAAAGAAACAATCGCGGACCCTAAAAAGTCCGACACTCTTAAACACCAACCCGCTTGGCCTCCTTCTGGGCGAGTTTGGCCAATTCCTCATACACGCTGCTGAAGTCCTCATCATCGTCCTCGTCCTTCTTCTTGCCCTTGGCGGCCGACTTGGGCACGACCATGGTAACACTGGTGGGACGCTTGGTGGCCGCCGAGTTACCGAGCTCAGCTCGGGATGTGACGAAGACGTAGGGGATTCCGTGGTCCTCACAGAGCACGGGAATGTGAGAGATGACGTCCATGGGCGAGATGTCGGCGGCGAGGATGACGACGCCGTTGGGGATAGAGACGGGGGCGTTGGGGGCAGGGACGGGCGATTTGCGGAGGGCCTTGACGACTTCCTTGACACCTCGCTTGAGGCACTTGTTGGCGGCGGCTGTTGGAGGAAGTAATGAGTTAGTATATGTTGAGTTTTGAAGCTAGTTTTGATCTCTGATAAAGGTGGAACGATGGAATGAAAAATCGAGTGTGACGGAAGGGAGCTTCCATCGATACTCTCGACGGAAGTAACGCAGATAAAAGAGACGAATGCGCTTGTCCTCTCCAAGTGGAGCTTTAGGTAGAGAGAGAGGGGAAAAGCTTACCCTTCTTGACACTCTTCAGCACCTTCTTCGCCGACTTGTCTTCGACGAGAGGGCTGGCGAACGGAACGACGGCGCCAACGGGACGAACGTCAATGTCCATCTCAGCCTTAACGACGCCCTCGACGGGAGCATCTTCGACGGCCTGGTCAATGCCTTCCAGAACCTTGGTGGTGAGTTCCTGCTCAACGGCGTCGGCGAGCGCGGTCTTGTCCTTCTTTTCCTTCTTGTCCTTCTTGCCGGCCTTGTGGACACCGTCCTTCTCCGAGCGCTTCTCCTTCTTCTCGCGCTTGTCCTTCTTCTCAGACTTGTCCTTGCCCATCTTGACTGCTGGTCTCACGGCGAGAGGAATTGATCGGGGTGGAGAGCGAGGGGGGTGTGGAGGGCGAGTAGAGGTTGTCGTCGGAGTCTCGTCGAAAAACCCGCAAAATTTCGAAATCTTCAAAATTTTGGCGCTAGTCCCGATCAGGGCGACCTTCGACCGCGGGCGGTGAAAGGTCGCTGACTCAGCCGTTGCCCAGCCGTTTTGAGCTTCGCCGGAAAACAAAGCAGAGGCGCATCTCCATTGCTGCTGCTTGTTGCATCCCGTTCTTCCTTGTCTGCGGTTGCTGGGCTTGGATATCTCTGGGAAGGAGTGCTGGCGTATTTTTACCCCTTCTCGTCGGTATTTATGAGCTTTTTCCCCATCAAAGGTTGCGGACTTCATTCATGGTGTTGTATGGCTAGTTATGCTGCAAGGTAGGCTTCTCTCTCCAATTCGGCTGTATCAGGATCGCAGCAACTAACTCGCATCAGATGAACTCGAGTAGGAATTCTCGTCTATCTTTCGGGTCGCACCCCGGGGACTCGCCTCTGTCGATTCCCAGAGCCCCGAGTATCCTGCGACAGTCCACCCGTCGTCCCCCTCAACCTCCAGCGCACGGTAAGCTCATGCCACGCGCTCAAGTGCCAGTCGTTTCGCGAAATTGACATATCCTATTAGATACGGAGAAAGATGAGCTGCGGGTGCAGTGCAGTACCTTCAAATACGAATTGGAGAACATCAAGCAAGAGAGAGATCTCATGGTGTTGCGCCATGAAAAGGAGCTGCGGGATCTACAATCAAAGCGAGATGCGGACTTTCGAAAAGCTCAGGTTTGTCCATATCAGCTGATACGTTGAGCCGACGATAGACTGATGACTTTTGCTGTAAAAGGCTGCGGATACCTCCAGCCATCGGGCCAACCACAAGTACGAATCGCTCGCGAAGGAAATGAAGGAGTATCAAGAACAGGCGCTCAACGATAAAGTCAGCCTGGAGCGGAAGATCAGAACGCTTCAGGACCAGAACCAAAGTCTCCAGGAAGATGTCGAAGATAACAAAGCGCAATCGCTTGACCACGAGAGACAATACAAGTATCAGCTCAACGAACTCGAAACAATTCGGTCCTCTCTTCAGAAAACCGTCGAAGAATTACAGAACGATCTCCAGAATGTGAGGAACGAAATGCAATCTACACAAGAACGGCTCCGTGAGAGAGATGCCGAATTCGTCAACTTGGAAACCGAGAATATCCGCTTGAAAGCCGAGGGGAGCGATGCAGAGACCCTGGCCGTTCTTAAAAGGGAGCTCTCAGAGCAGGTCAACCATATCAGGAACCTGGAAACGTCAAATCGCGACCAAACGGCGGAGTTGCGGCAACTTCGTAAATCCCACAAGAACGTTGAGGTTGTCGAAGAACAGAAGAAATCGCTGGAAAACCAATTGCAGTTGATGAAGGGGTTGGAATCAGAACTGGGAACTTTGCAAATTCAGAAGCAACTCCTAGAGGATGAGAGGAATTCCTGGGCCAGCCTTTTACAGGACAGCGATCAGTCCGAAGAGTTTAAATCCCCAGAAGATGTTGCGAAGGCTTTGCTACGAGAACGCCTCGAAAAAGCCTCGTTAGTTGACAAACTAGGTAGCATCGAGGCACAATTCTTGGAGAAGGATGAGACGATCAAAGGCTTAGAAACCGAGAGGTCCAACTTGCGACAGGAGCTTGAAAAGCTTCGAAACGCAGGAGCTGCCCCCGGGGGCGCGATGGCGGACAGTCGGGTCAAGGCCCGACTTGAACGTCAGCGAACACTCGCTGTGAAGGAAGTGGAGTATCTTCGTGAGCAGTTGAAAACTTTCGATGCGGAGGAAGCGACCATGAACGAGCAGAGTCAATTTGATGAGCAGAAATCCGAACAAATCGCCAATCTCCAGAAACTTATCGACCAATATAGGAAGGAGTTGGAGCAGGCCCATGAGGAGCTCTTCAAACGAGAATCGGTTCCGCAAGAAGATGCGCAACCGCGCGGCATCAAACGCCCACTTTCCCCTGCTGAAAGCGAGGCCGAGAACGAGCGCGTCTCAGCCCTCTCTCGCAAGAACCGAACCCTTCAAGAATCGCTGTCCAAATCCGAGCAAGCGGCCGCCCTACTACGTAAAGAGTTTGAGGCCGCCAGATCCCAACTCAAGTCTCTCAAAGCCAAGTCTCGCACGCGCGTTCTCGAGCTGCGCGACAACCCCACGGCAGAGGCCGAAAAGATCAAGCTCTCCACCCTGGCCACGCTCAAGGCGGAAAACCAGGATCTGCTCGCTCAGCTGCGCGGTGGCCAGGGAGATGCCAACGTCGTCCCAATCAGCACCCTGGAAAGCATGAAGCTTGAGATCCAAGACATGGAGCGCACGGTCGCCGACAAAGAAAAGCGTATGCGCCGCCTGAAGGAAATTTGGACCGCCAAATCCTCCGAGTTCCGCGAAGCCGTTGCCTCCCTGCTCGGCTATAAGCTCGACTTCCTTCCGAACGGCCGCGTCCGCGTGACCTCCATGTTCCATCTGTCGCCGGCCTACCGACACGGTGATGGCTCTGCGGACTCCGCCGGACCGGGCAGCATGGGCAATGGCGAGGAAAACTCCATCATCTTCGACGGTGAAAACGGAACGATGAAGATCTCTGGTGGGCCCAACAGTCTCTTCGCCATGGAGATCAAACCCCTGATCAAATTCTGGGTCGAGGAACGCAAAGACATCCCGTGCTTCCTTGCTGCCATGACGTTGGATTTCTTTGATAAGACCACACGGGCTGCACGCATGTGATCTCATTCACCTTCTCTTTCTTCCTTTTTTTTGGTCTCAATATCTTCTTGTGTAAAATAATATACAGATAGGATTTTCCCCTGTGTGGTCCCATTCTTTGGGCTATTGTTATGGATTACGATTCCCCGGCGCAGGCAGGATTGTGCCATGTTCCATTTCCCTTGCATCTATTTTACCTTTCCTTTTTCCCTTATTTAGTTTCCTTCTACTTTGTGTATTTGTCCCGTCGCTCTATTCACTCCACAGACGGCAGTGTAACATTGATTATGTGCATTCATGTAGTCACCAATCATAGCTTAGCTCATGTGGGAAAGGGAAACTTTTACGAAGTGGCTCGTTCCATTTCTCCCTGGTCAATTTGATAATGAAGTGATGCATTTGTTAAATTTGGTACGCTACCGATCTATCATTTTCGTAGTGTGCTGAGAGGACAAAAAAAAAAAAAAGACAAAGACAACGAACGACATAATTCAGAAACAAAGTAGAATTTGTGACATCAAATCACGCACACACAAAAGGGTGAAAATAGAATACACCAACAATCCGAGGTATACAATAACGCAGGAAGCCTGTTAACAGACAGACAAAACGTATTTACAAAACATCGGTTGTCATACGAGCTGAGCTGGTTCGATCGGAAAGAAACAGGAAGGAATGCGAGATTATGGGACCAAGGACAGACACAGAAGAACTTTGCACAAGAAGAGAAGAATCAATCAACTAGGGGAATAAGATAAGACAAGAACCAAAAAAAAAAAAAAAAATACAGCAAAATTAACAGAAGAGTAGACAGGAAATGCGCCGTTACAAACAGATGGAACTAATTTATGTACTGGAGTAGTTCGGGGATAATGTTGGCTGGCTATGGGATCGCTGAGTCAACTTTTTTGGAAGAGCAAGACGTTCCAAGAAAGAAGAGAAGTAGGCAACAAGCCGGTAGGAGGGCATTGTATCGAATGTTGCCATTAAACGCTCTGTGGGTATTGAGATTGCATTGGATTGCATTGGTGAAACGGATCTCCACATTAAGACGACACATACTTGCCTCCGACCAGCTTGCGGGCTGTCGGCACCTCGTTCCACGTCAATGACTCAGTATCGGCAGCCGGTGCAGAATCCTCGTCTGCGAAAGGATCCGGCGCAGCCTCTCCACCTGGAGACGCAGCGCTGATTCCCAGGCGCGAGCCGGCATGGGTCGAGCGAATCTCAAACTTGGCCTCAACCTTGCCCTTGCGCGGCCAACTGTTTGCCGTTGAAAACCGGACCAGGAGCTTGCCATCAGAATTGGGCTTGACCTCTAATTCGGGCAACTTCCAGGTCACCGCGGAATGCTTGCGACGGAAAGATGCACCCGTGTTGGGGTACATGACGGCATTGGTTGCATGGACTACTTCGCGACCTTCCTCCGGGGTGGTATCGAGGTTCACCGTCAGAACTAAGTTTTTGAGCACCAGTGATTCGGTCGGTATCGATGAAGCGAAAGAAGGATTGATCGAGTAGAACACGATCACGCTAGCTTGATATTCCTCCATGTTCCAAGCCGGTTTGAAGATGACCGGACAGTAGGCGGAAGTGTCCGAGGGATCAATGTGGAGCTGGTATTTGAAGGCCACCGATGGCGAGGACCGAGCTATGTTAGAGAAAGAGATAGTGTATTGACCCCTCTTCTCCTCGGATTGATCTTTGTCCTTCTCTTCGCTCACAAAGTGGGGGTTAGCGGCGACCTTTTCTAGCACCTGGAAATTCTCCAGACGAACAAGGCTGTTATCGGACGATACATCCGGGGCCGGATTGTAAGCCAGTGCAAGCTCTCCAACGACGAAAGACTTAGTCACCGCACCATCGGAGAACCACGCATTGACGGTTTCGATGATGGAAGCGTTCAAGCCAGGCTCGTGTAGTTCCGGGTGAGTTACCGGGCCAGACGTGCTGTGCAAGGTATGTCCCGAGCGAACAGAGGTCGTATCAGAGAGTGTGTGCTCATCAGTGGCATTACTGGGGGAAAGCGCATGCCTCGGCGGCATTGACGGTGAGGTCGGGGTCGGTCCGTTCGCCCCCGATGGAGTAACTGGGAGTTCGTTGCTCGGTGGAGGGTTGGGGATGAAGACGGTGTTACGAACATCGCGCCGACCGCGCAAAGTGCCGGCATTTCGCCTAATGCCTCCACTTTGTTGGGCCCGCTGTAGAGCATGTAAGTACACCATTGAAGAGAGGTTGCTTCCGGAAACACTCACAATTCTTAGCTGGCTAGCCATGTCATCCATGGCTTGCTTCGCTTGGTCCTCATCCTCGAATATCGGCTGGTCTCGAATGGTGAGGTTCATTCCTGATTCTTCAATACTGCGGATATCATTAGTGATCGTGTCATTATCAAGGGTCTTAGAGATTCAATTACCCCATAGCCTCTCTTTGGGCTCTTGTGATTTCATCAATGGTTTGCGGTCGCTCGGTAAATCCTTCCGAGTCTACTCGCGGCTCCTACTTGAAATCAGTTCACTATTCTAGATGTTTGTCCACAAAAAGTCTTACCTCATTGATGGTCGCACTCGTCAGACCCGTGTCTGCAGTAATTTCTGGAGCAGTCCCGTTTGCCGTTCCAGGCGCCGACTGAGGCTCCGGGCTAGAGGGACCTGGGCCGGCACCGTCGCGGTCACTAGGTTCACTAGCGGTACGAGCAGCATCACGCGTTTCGCGCGGGCTTTCCTGTGTAGTCAAAGCCGTGGCCGGGCGATCCGCTGTCGATGGAGGTGACTCGGGAATCTGCGTGTCACGAGCAGAATCTCCTCGCATGAAAGAAGCGAAGGGGCTGCGATGCTTTTTCTCCCCAAAGAATGGTCCACCGGATGGCTGCACCATGCTCTTACGTCGGTTCATAACAGTTCCTAGTCGCTTGAGGCCGCCGAGGGGCGTATTATGACGAGGTTCTGGGGCTGGTAGGGCTCAAAGAGTTAGCTCAGTGTCGCGAGAGAGACAGGTGAATCAGTAGGCACATAGCTACGTACCAGTAGGAGCCCTGGCCGGGGCCGGCGCAGCGGACGTCTCGGAGCGTTGACTGGCCGCATCATCGGGAATGCGCGGCAGAGGCGGCAGAGGCGCGGCCGGAGGAGGCGACGCAGCTTGCTCTCTAGATTGCTCCCTCGTTTGCTCTCTCGGAATAACCGGTCGTCCACCATTCATCTTTGCAGCGAAGGTCTTAATCTCATCTGCTGTTTCAACGTTCAAGAGCACATTCAAACAGCTCTCGGCCGCCTGACGACAACGTTCGACCTGGTCCGTCTCGTGGGTCTCAAGCTGAGTTAGAACGTCTCGTAGGTGGTTCAGTCGGCTTTCGTCCGCGGCTTGAAGCTGTTCGAACACAAAAGGTGCCCTCGAGTCCCATTGCTGACGAACTTCCTCTGCTGCGGCAATGGCACCTGCCAGTTTATCCGCGCCTTTCGGGCCCTTTTCCCTTGCTTTATCCACCTTCTTTGAGGAAGCTTCCAAGTTTTTCGCAAGCCCCGCGATATCATTCTGGATACCTGGCATCGAAGCCAGTTCCCGGTTCTTCGTGTTGAATTCCTTCAGGGGACGTTCCACGTCGTCTTCAATCTTCTGCGCAAAGACCTCGTGCGAAGAAGCCACTATCTCGGCGGCGTTGATGATACGTTGCCATGGTATTTGGAAGATGCTGGTTTACGCAATGGCGTCACTGTTAGCGACACGGTGTTCCCAAGCCAGGGACTAGCTAGAGCGACTCATTCATACCCCAGTGCAGCGCCGTTATCCAGCTGTGGCCTCGTCGCAAGTTTCCGTAGGCCTTGGGCATACGCCTCTTCGACACGACGACGTTCCTGAAGTAAACGTTGCAATTAGATCGTGAAGAGCTACGAGCAATTGGAAGAGGGGGGTGGGAAGTCATACCTGTAGCCAATCCGCAATATCCGTATTGACTCGGTTGATGATGCGAACGCGATCGTTTAACACGTTTGTAGCTTGGCTGGGCTGCAAAGAGGCCTGGAAAGGAAGATCACGATGATGTCATTAAAACATATTCAGGTGGTATAAATATGGAATTGTCAGGTCGACGAATTGACCGATTGCTATCGAGGGTGGAGATGGGGGGTTAATTGGGTCGGGGCCTACCAGCAAGGCTGGATACTCCTGCCGTGAGAGGTCCATTGCTCAATACTCATAGATCACAGCTGCGGAAAGAAGGGCTGGGGAGGCGCATAATAAGGTAGACAGGCAACGAGAGAGGGGGGATGGAGGAGCGGCGGGGATTGTGGGCAGAGAAACGAGCGATTGCGACGGGGAGGTCGGAGTAGTGACGGAAGATGGTGGATGATGGCTGATGACGATGCCCCCGTTGCAACCCCGGAAGAACTTGCCCCGAGCCGCCGGTGTCACATGGCCCACCTCGAGTATTTATGGAGTATTCACTGGCTGTTTATCTTCCACGGAGTAGCTTAATTCTCTACAATTGCCTCCTTGGTACACACAACTACGCTTGGCTGAATTCCAAATAATGGCGTCGGATTGGAAAAAAGCATTGGGCTTCACCGATCGCCTGACAGCCATCCAATCTCTGTAAGTATCGCATGCGTCGAAGAATATTTCTACGAGCGCCCACCCCGTCCCATTGCCTGATGTATCCGATTATTCCCATCCTTATGGCCTTTTACAGGACCATTGCCTACCAGGATGTGTCGTCATCAGATGCTTTTGCGGAGGCACAATCCCAGGCCAAGAAATTCGAGAGCGAGACTTATGAGCGGGCCACCTCCAAGGTGCGAAGCTAGATTCCAATGCCCGCAAGCCCACATTCTCACGACGTAATGCGTAGGAAGAATATGAACAACTCTGTCAGCAGGCAATTGATGCCGCCGAGTCTGAGTCAGTAGCTCCCGGGATTGGTGGGCCCGATCCAGGGCATAATGAACTCGACGAGGAATCTTTGGGCGTTGGTGAGACCATCGGGCCATATCGGGCCTGTACGCACCATTTCGATGGACTTCATTCCACCATATATAAGTCAAGACGCGAGGATGGGGCCCTAGTGGCCGTCAAGGTGACCGTGCCTCACCTCTTGACGGCACCTCACGACGCTCAGCGTGAGATCGAACTTCTGCGAGAGGCTGCCAATGTTCATATAATCCCTTTGATAGAGACTTTGAAGCTCGAGGGAGGGAGACTCGTTCTGTTGTTCCCCTTTGTGAGATATGACTTCGAGCAGCTGCTCCGCCGAGGGATGGTTACGGCCGGTCAAACGAGGTCCCATTTGCGCGATATGTTCAACGCGTTGGCACACGTACATGAATTGGGGATACTACACCGCGACATAAAGCCGTCCAATATTTTGATGGATTCGCCCGATGGACCGGCCTACCTCGCTGACTTTGGCATTGCCTGGAAAGAAGGACAGAAGTCTTCCGAGCCGGCCGACCAGAAGCTCACGGATGTTGGGACCACCTGCTACCGACCTCCGGAGATACTGTTCGGCTTCAAGGAGTATGGGACTGCTCTTGATCTTTGGGCAGCCGGATGTGTCGTTGCAGAGGCAGTATCCGTCGGGCACAAGCAGTTGTTTGACTCGGGGCCCCTGGGGAGCGATCTCTCCCTCATTCAGTCTATCTTTACAACTCTGGGCACTCCAGACCAAGATACTTGGCCGGTACGTGATGAAATAGCGGCACACATTCCGCGACGCCAATCAGTCCGGGTTATGCTGACATAAAGGGCACAGGAGACTCAGAAGCTTCCCGACTGGGACAAAGTCCAATTCTATAAATATCCAGCCCAGGCATGGGACAGCATTCTCAAAGGGGCTTCTTCGAAAGGCCGTGACCTTGTGAGCCAATTAGTGCGTTACGAAAGTAGCCAACGTATACCTGCCACCGAGGTAAGTCGGAGGACTGTGTACTGATCCAGGGCCGGAGGAGCAAAATGCATGCTAACATTGGCAGGCTCTGAAACACCCCTATTTTTCGGCCGCATAATTAATAATGCCTTCGGTTGAAGCATTGTTCATGTGAACAATGCCGACCACAAATGAGAACAATCAATTTTCTCCTACACTCCGTATTCCACGGTAGTATGGATCACTTACTGTATTCAGTTTAGTGAGCGGGCATCACATTTAATCATCTGGAGTCGGTTAGATGGTTGAGGGTCCACCGGCCTCCACCGGTCGTTTCAGTCGTCCGACGGTTGGAAATAGTGGAGAACGGTGGTGAGCCCTGTCGGTGACAGACAACTGGGGCGCAGTCGAGCTACCTACTAGTTCGTCTTACGCCTTGAAGATGATGGCCATCCAATTGAATGTGATTAGCACCAACATGAGGATGCAGCGTTCCAATAGAGTCCAAAATGTCACAATTTGGCGTCGTTGCTGTCTGGCCTCCTGAGACTCCGACTGCATCAACAAGATCTTGGGCCTTTCGCGATCGAGCAAAATCCAGAGTATCTTCAACCACGCTCACTTTTCTGACGTTGTAGCAAAATACCTATTATTCTTTGTTAGTACGATCTTGAAAGCTTAGACTTCTATCTGCATTGGAAATTGATTGGCTGTGTCATTATAACTACTAAGCATTAAGCCCTGCGCCCTCTTCATACTTGCCAGGTAACCCTCTCTGTATTCTTGTAAAAGATCGACACACGTACCCTAAGTCGAGAAGAAAGCCATCACTACTCTCCATTCGGCCAACCGAAAGATACGACTTTGGAAGACTTTCATGGTTCGGAATACGAAGTGAAGGCGATAGCCACAGAGTAGGTGGTTCATTCGCAAACCCTATTATATTGACACCATGCAATTGATCTGCATGAATAGGAAGCCGGGGACTCAAGTCCAAACCGGCTATCCTCTCTTGAGATTGCTCGGTATCGACATGTTTGACGATCGCGATGGTCGAATTTTCAGCAGCCTAATAAGAGCTGAATGAAGACCTTGTCGGTTTCATGTCTGGTGGAACAGCGCCGGGGTTCCAAGTTGCTTTATGGTTCCGACATCCTGGTTGGCATCGCTGAACCCACGATTGCGACGCCAGTTTCTGACCCCGTCTCAAGTTCGAAAGTAAATTTCAAGACCCTGTTTCGCCCCATGGCTGCTACACACCAACGCCTCGATCATAACCACGGGGTATTGTGGACCCATGATTATTGTGGCATGGCGTGATCGCCTCACTCCATATTGACATTTGTGGACGGCAGCGTTGACACCCCTGGAACACTGAGGAACGAGGGGTTTTCGACCACCAAAAAAAAAGTCTTGCAGACGGGTATAAACGAGTATACCAAACTCTGAAGAGCGGGACTTTGGACCAATTTCATGCGAAGATGGATGAGATTTGCTGTAGATTAATGAAGAGGTAACTTATTACCCCGACCCCCTTGCCGGCGCTTGCAGGAGTCTGTGTAGTTCTCGACTTGACGCAGCTAAGCCCCATCGATCAGTGCCTTTTCTGCGAACCCTGACTGGCGTGGCAACCATGACTCGTTATTTGTTTTCTTCTGCAATCAGCCGCAGCCCGATCCCGTTACCAGGAGGGTGTCTGGTAGTTAGTTAGCCCTCAAGCTGCAACGACGAAAAATGCCGACGGAATAGAAGTGAGGGTGGGCCATTGATGAAAATAATTGAAACAATTGTTGTGTGAAGACAGACTGTTTTGCACTCTTCTGTTGACAATCGTGATGATCGTAGGGTGTTCTCGGTAGATCATGCGATGATGTCAACATTCATGGTGTGAGTCGAGGTGGGCCAATCGCCAGGTTAGGAGGTCCCATATTTGAGCCCTGTAGACCTGTGAACCCATCCGGAGAAGAAATGGGTCGAAATTCGAATGTTGGTACACCGCATACAATGGTTAAAGAGAATAACTGGTGCACCGGGCAGGTGCTGGCATCGCGGTGTGAGAGGAGATTTAGTCTGAGGGGGCTGCTTGAAGGGAGAGAGAGAGTACTGTAGTAGGTATCCATCTAGTGATCTAGTCACTAAGTAGTAAGTGTTCCGGCACGCCTCCAAGGGGCCCGACAAGGTTGACTCGCCTCGGTGGCTGAAATGAGAGCCAAGAGTTGGCGAGACGGGACGCAGATGAAGAGAAAAAAAAAAGGCGCCAGTCCAGGCCGAGTTAGACCGAGTCATCATATGAATTGTAATCTGCACAAGCTGCACGTGTGTGCACAGGAACAACGGGATTCTCAAAAACTCGACGAGAAAAAACAGGAAAAGGGGCCGATGGAGCACCCCCATACTTTGACTTTGGAGCATACATATTACATCAATACCAGGGACTGGCCGAGGCGGGTGTGCCGGATGGCTCGTGTTACCCTGGGTGCGCTGCAACCGTCACAAAACCAGGCACCGTAACTAGGGCAGACCAATCGGGGCCCCAGACCGCCCACGAACAGCGGGGCCGGTGCGACCATCTCTGCCACGTTGGGTTAGCGCTGTATGGTGTCTACCCGAGCGTACTGTGTGCTCATTGGCCAGCAGCCCCTCAGCGGAGGGCTCAGGCTCCATTGATCTCATCTCGTTTACGGGTCCGTAATTACCGGTATGGCTGCCTCGTGCTCCTCTTCGCTTCTCTCTCTCCCCTTCGCTTTCGCTTCTTTTTTTCTTTTTCCCTTTCTTCATCTCAGCCTCGACAGATATCACGCTCGATCTGGTGATCTTTCTTTCTTTCTTCCCAATTCCCGGGAGCTCGGGCTCCTTCCTTTCGTTTCTTGCGCGGCCTGGACGCTCGTGGTCATTCTTTTGAACGACTTGGCCGGCCTCTCCAGCCTGGTCCAACTATACCGCATACTTTCCATTCTTTGCCAGCCCACATTCCTTGACGACGCGCCTAGGTACCCTCTTGCGCTCCGGAACGCGAAGCCATTAAACACCCCTGGGCATCTTCGTGCAAGCTCTTTTTGCTTTCTTTCTTGTTTGGGGTTTTTTTTCCTGTCTTCAACCTTCTTTCTACGACTTTCGTTAACCAATCCACTGGCAATTCTCCCGGGTTCTTTTCGACAACCCCGCCGGCATCTCCACGACTGATTCCTGACCATATATGTTCCTGTAACCCGTCTCTCTTTAACGCGCGACTAAGCTCAATTGCCCTTTTGGCAGCTAGCGACCATGGTACACGGACATGCGCATCACAAACATGGCGACGTTCCCCAGAAACGAAGCCCCGACGACGGTGTCACCGTCGTTTACGTGACGGCCCCAGCTGATTTCGACGGCCCCGTCGCGGGTTACGTGACCGGCGAAAAGCCTGCCGCCACGAAAGCCAACGTTGGTGTAGGAGCGCCCGTAGGAGCGACGAGGGCGGCAACCAAGGACGACGATGATGACAAGCCGACGAAGACCGCGGAGGCAGAGACGAAGAAGACGGCCGAGGTAGAGACTCAGAAAACGGCAGAGCCCAACACGCAAAAGACTGTCAAGGAGGAACCGAAAACCACCGAGGAAAAGACGCAACCGACTGCGACTCGCAACACCAAGCCGCAGACCACCCAGGTGCAGGAGACTCATACGCAGCAACAGCCAACTCGAGTATCTGCCACCCAGGAGGAGAAGACGACCGCCGTTCAAACAACGTTGTCAACCTCCACGTCTTCCAAATCGCCTTTGTCCGGCACTGGCCTGGAGAACGCGGCCGCCACCAATTCATCTTCGCTGGACAAGTCGACCGCCTCGCCCTCCGCCGTGGCCGCGAGTTCGGGTGGTATGTCGGACGGCGCAAAGGCGGGTATCGCCATCGGTGTCATCTTGGCCGTCGGCCTGGTTGCTGGTCTGATCTTCTTTTGCCTGCGCAAGAAGAAGCGGGGCGAGAAACTGGACGATGCGGCATCCGAAAACGAAAAGGTCTTCGTATCCAACGACGTTGTACCCCCAGGACCTCCGCCTAAGATCGAACCCGTGGCTCCATCCAATCCCCCGCAGCTCAACGTCCGACCCGTCACCCAATTCGCTCCTGATCTTACCCCTAGTAACAGTATTGCGGCTCTCTCTGTTGGCGGTGTCGAAGACAGTCTCACGCCCGCTGCTGCTGCTGCCGCCGCCGCACCGCGTAATCTAACCGGAGACAGCTCGCCTCACACTCCAACGTCGAGTTCTGGCAGCAACACGAACCCTTTCAATGACCCTGTCAATCCCTTTGCTGGCCAGGCTGAGGCCTCCTCTCCGGCCAACGCGGCACACTCGGTCAGTCCATCTGCCGCTTCCGCCGCGACCCCTGCCGGCTCCGAGGCAGCTTCTCCGGCGGATGGGGCTCCTCCGTCGGCCGTCGGGGCTGCGGGTGTCGCGTCGGCCGCGGCGGTCGGTGCCGTTGCAGGTGCCGCAGCGTCTTCATCCTCAGAGGGATCCGGCAAGGACCTGCCTGACCGTCCCGGAACTGCAGCATCTCAAACCCCTTCGGACTTTAGTCGGACTGCAGCCAGCCCAGATAGCGCAGTTGCCGCCGTTCCGGCATTCGGGCCTGCGGGACACGCTCCGGCTCCGTCCAACGTGCATCGCGTGCAGATGGATTTCAATCCCTCGATGGAAGATGAGCTGGAACTTCATGCCGGCCAGCTCGTGAGGCTCTTGCACGAGTATGACGACGGGTGGGCTCTTTGCGTCCAACTCGACCGTTCCCAGCAGGGAGTGGCCCCGCGCTCCTGTCTCTCTTCTCGCCCCGTGAAACCTCGTTCCCGGCCACCCCCCGGAGCAGGACCCGGCCCTCGGGGTCCCCCGATGATGGCACCCAACGGCCCTGTCCCAGGACCTCAGCCGACCCGTTTCTATCCCCAGGATGGTCGGTCCATGTCCCCAGTCTCCTCCCGTCCCATGTCGCCCGCCCAACGTCCCATGTCCCCGGCTCATCCCGGCTATGCCGGACCTCCCCAGCCACGCCCGCATGGGCAGCGGCCTATGTCCCCCGCCCAGTTTCCCCTCGTTCCCCGGTCTTACTCGCCGGGACCGGGACAGCGCCCCGCGCCGCCTCGCTCGATGAGTCCCGGACCCTACGGACCGCCCGGTATGCAAAGGCCGGACATGCCGGCGGCGCAGCGACAACGCAGCAACAGTGCGGGCGGACCGATTCCACGCACGACCGCGTCTCCGGGACCGAGTCCTCTTGCGGCCCCCATGCCTCCCCCCACCGGTGCTCTCCCCGCCCTTCCCACCGCAGCTCTGACGTCCGTCGAGAAGCCCAGTCCAGACCATGAGGCTCAGCCCCAGTAGAATCTACGATTGTTGATGCTAAATGGGACAAAAATTGATTGATACCGGGAACAAATGGATTGCCATCGCCGCTGGACGGTACGAACTTGATATGATATTATACACGTCTGCGATGAATGGCTCATTCCTGCTTTTTCCATGTCAATCTCATTCACCGGTTCCGCCCTATCTTCTTTCTTCTCTTGTTTTATTCATCATGTTCTGATTTTGGGGGGCCTATCAAATGGTCCTCTCCTTTTTACTTATTTTCTTCTCTCTTGTCAGCAGCAGCGCCAATAAACGGGGAAACCACATCATCCTTGGATCCGTTGGATATCGATATACCCCTACTGCTGAATTTGCTCTGCCGTGTTCACACTGGCAGGTTATACCCACGATTTTTGTAAGATTTACTGAAACATGAAATCTCATGTCTTTTGAGTATTGATATATTCTTTTACGACTCCCATTTACCCTCTTCTTCTTTCCTTTCTTCTCTTTCCGTGCTTCTTCTGAGATCTATCTCGACACTTTGGATCACAAAATCATTCTTCATCGATACTCTCATGGCTTCAATTCCTCTTTTTGCCATCTACCTCAAGCCAACCAACCTCAGGATATTCAGAAAGGTGGTAAAGTGCAAGAAGCCCACGAGAATGAAGGAAAGACCAATATCAAGATGAGAAGAACCCGGAAAGATCACTTTTTATTCTATTTATTTATTTTTTTTTTTTTACTACTTGCTTGATGAATCTGTTTTGGTCTTTGGACGCCTGTTTCTTTGTCTGGTCTGCTCTGTGCAACTGTGTCTGCTTGTATCAAATTTCTTGGTCAAGGAAGCGTGTGCGTTTCTATGTATAGTATATGTAGGAGCACGTGGGTGGATGTTACCTTTTATTAGATTAGATGAAAAATTGACAAAAAATATTCATATATCTTATAAAATAAAGACACTTCAAATACATCGCTCCCTCGCTCTCTTGTCTATTAAGTAGGTGCTCTGCAGTGCCATATCCAGGGGGTCATCGTCGTGATCAACAAATAAAGACGGTCTTATCAATTGCCTGAGGTGCATGTATATGTATCTACCTATGTACTGTATAGACCTAGACAAAGCTTAGAACTTAGACGCTTCAATTAGAATCAAATGGATAGTAAAAATTCGCTAATACAGGCAGGATTGAGTATTCATCTACCCTCGCTTTTATGTTCAAAACCAAGTAAACCAAATACCAACCGAGCAACAATCGTGACAACAAGGTCGTTTCAAATGGCTTAAACGATAGCATATGCAGACAATAAATCAACCAATAAACCAAAATGATGTGGTCCAATGCGTCTTTACAGGTGGGGTACTCTTGCGCTGGCAAGAAGGAGATTAACGATACTAATGATCCCTTCTCCCAAGATCAACCCCGACGCTAGGACCACGACGGTGGAGGACGCAACGTCGGCGTCCTTGGGCTGTTCGGATGGCCGTCTGGTGCCGGGGCCGTCGGGAGTCTCGTCGTCGTCGCCGTCAGCAGCCCGTTGAGTCGGAGGTGCGAGCTCAGAAGATTCGGTGCCCTTGGCGTGACGTCGAGACCACCACCAGGCAATTGCGCCGCCGATGGCTCGGGCGAGAGTGAACGATGGAACGTTGAATATGCCGACGGCGACGGCGATGCCTCCGGGGACCCATGCGCGCCAGGGAGCGGTGACGCCGCGTTGGCCGCCGTTCGCGATAGGAGAGGCGGCGACGATGCGGACGATGGTGACGGCAACGAAAGCTATGCCGGCCAGCAAGGATGCTTGCCAGGCCATGGGGGGTAGGCCCTGGCCGGTGACGAGGCGGGCCGTGAAGATCCAGACGTACGCGGTAGGAGTCTGGAACATGGGGCCCGGCACCTCGTAGACATTCACGTACATCTTGTAAACGGCGGTGGAAAGCACAGCGCCCACTACACTGCCGATCATTTGGCCGTAGAACTGGGCCTTGGGGCTGGCGCCGAGTAGATGTCCCGTCTTCAAATCCTGCATCATGTCGCCGGCCTGCAGCGCACCGGATTCGGAGACCGCACCCGCAAGGAGGTTCGTAACGAGTGCCGTCCGCCGTGAAAAGTGCGAGGCCGGGGTCGCGAGGGAGAACAGTAGTTGGGTCAGTTTACTGATCCCCGAGACTGGGTTCAGATCGGTCTCGCCGAGAGCGCGAACACCCATGATCGAAAGCAGGACAGCAAGCAATGTGGCAAGGCTGGAAAGCAGCGGAGACATAACATCCCCGAAGACAAAGTGCATGCAGACAACATTGAGGATCAATGTAAGGGGAAGCAAGATGATGACGGTTCGTGTGGAAATGAGTTGGGAAGGGGGTGCATCCTCGTCATCATCATTAGCGTCGCTACGTCTCCCAGTAGACAATGCGGACTGACTTTGAATAAATGAAGGCTCCTCGGAGATCGGGCTCAAATTCGAATAACTGACATAAGGATGGCGAACTGAGGTGGCCGGCGTTTTTGACGCGACCCAACGGCCAATGTCGCTCGAGAGTAATTTCGCCGTTAGGGTGGGCGCGCGTGCAATGAGAGGCTTGAGGACCAGCCAGCCTAGACTAACAATAGAGTCCGCGAGCATAATGGCCAAGGAGACCCAGACAATCCATGCTTTGCTCCCATCCTCCCAGCTATCAACCGGTCCAGGGGCCCAGCCGCGGGCTTTCGCCAGAGGAGAAAGAACACCCCAGCCTAGCACAGCGCCAAAGAGCATGTGCATACACGTTGAAGGGCCCATGATAATACCTTGTCCAACATAGGCCGGAGACGGGTTGAGGGTCCACAGCCAATTTTGGGCGAGAGTAAGCCCAAAGATGGGAATATCACGCACTTGCGGGACAAAATAAGAGAACAGCGTCTGCAAATGTTAGCGGTCAATCTTTGGAGGTGCCTGAACAGTTGAGACCCACGTAAACACCAGAAATAGCGAAAGCTCCGACGAGTAGGCGCATCTTTGATCTCCAATCCTTTTTCTCGTCGCTTTGATCTTCGGGATCATCCTGTTTCAGCAGTGTCCCAACCTCGTCAGAATCCCGCGAAACCAGCGGTTCTTCCTCCTCGTCTCGTTGGGGTCTCTCGGATCGGCGGGAGCCAGTCTTCGTTTTCTCCTCACTCTGGCCATTTCCGTGGAGAACTCTCAGCATCAGTGCAGAGGCCGTTCCGCTCGGAAACTTGAGTTTCTCTCGGACAATCACCTCTTTCCGCAGTGGAACGGCAAAGACAACACCAAACAAACACACGCCCAAACTCCAAAGGACCAGCTTCCCAAAGTTTAATTTTAATGGTCCTCCCTCTCCCGTACCTCCATCACCAGACGGACCATCCTCTCCGTCCCTCAACAGGAATTCCAACGCGGGTATCACACCGACGAACCCACAACCCAACGGCATTGTCCCGACCGCGCCTGCCACCGTTTGAATGAGGACGTTTTCGATAGGAGTGAATGGATACGACAAGTATTTGGACAGGACTTTGAAGACGGAGAATCCGATCAGCGCAGATGGCATGGCCATTGTACTGATCCATCCTGTCTGCAAACCGAAGTAGGTGTTGGAGAAAGTGATCAGGGCACCGATGATCAGGCCTACTAGGAGAGACCGCGGGGTAAAGCTCTGCGGCGCGGGGGCTGATAGCGAGAATCCGCCATCGTTGCAATCGGATTCCGGTCGATGTCGTTCATCGGAGGATCTCAAAGAAGACCTATCTGTGGGGTCCATGTTTGAGGAATGAGGGCCACTGGCGGCATTTCCCGGCATGTTGATAGACTGGTAATTCATCGGACCTTCAGCAACACGGCGATTCTTCTCAACCCTGCATCCCAGGAACAGCTACCAGACAAGAGCTTTGGAGAGGCGGATTTCAGGGTGCCATGATTCTAGAGAAAGCGAGATTGAACGGCAGTGGGCGCAAGGAGATGCAGGAGAAGGAGTTGGAGTCAAACGACGGCGATCAACCCCAGCCGCATTACTAAGCCACGATAACTAACTAACTAAAAAAGTTAACTAACTAACACTTAACTAGTTAACTAACTACCTAGTTAACAAGATAAGCTCGGTGACGTAATCAATCGCGTCTGTTTGTTTTGTTTGTTTTGTCTGCTTTGGATCTACGGAGTACCCTCTTCGTCTGTTGAACACCAGATGGACTTCATCCTTCATCCTTCATCTTCGGTCCGTGGGAGCCTTCAATTACCCTTGGTAGCCCAGGTGCTATTTAGAATAATAAGAATGTATACCCAAGATGGCCTCATCTCCGCAGAGTTTCTTCCAAGTTACCACGCCTTGTAATCAAGGATTAGTACCAGTCTTTGCTAAACCATCAAGACGTGGATTTTACAGCGTTAAACAAACAGTCCACCATGAAAAAGACGGAATTGAAGATATCGCCTCTCTTTCAGAGACGGTGTTTGCTTCCTTGAAGAGATACCAAACACTTGGAAAGGATACAGATCGTCTTGACACTCTGGAGCAGCTGGGCCACTTGACTAGAGCGTTAAGGAAACCGGCTGACACCGTATACCAGCTCTTTTTGTCGGTGGGATTTCATTATAGCACCATACTCTTCCAATTCCTGACTAATCGTTTCTGAACACTAGTTAAGCCTACAATCCTCATGGCCATCAAAATTGCCTACGATATTGGAGTCTTTGAAGTGCTCACTAAGACAACATCGTTTGTTACAAGTAGTGAGATCGCTGCCTAGAAACAAGTGGACAAACTTCTTCTTGGTAGGGTATGGGATACCTTGTTGCTCGCCATGACTTCTCAACTCACCCTCGATAGAGCGGATAATGCGAGCCGTCGTCATAGGCGGCTTCGCAGGCGAACATGGCCCTGGTCAATATTTTCCAACGTAGCTATCGAAACAGATGACTCTAAAAACATATAGTAGAACTCCAGAATGCCTGTATGTTAAAATTCAAGCCACCAAACCATGATTCGCATTTGCCTATCTGTTTGACTCCTAGGTTTACGGATTTTCTGACTACGATCCATAACACCCCGATGTTTCTAAAAGAAAACCACTACCAGAACCCACTCGATCCTTCCAATGCGCACTCGGTCGATGTGAACGGAGCTCCTGGAGTCAAACGGACTTACCATTAATATGATCTGGACTCCGATGGAAGACGGGCTAAGCGTGATTGAAGCCGAAATAGCCGATGATGCACCGATGAATGGGAGCGTATAAGAGTTCTTCTGCTGGTTGCAATCGGGACTGAAGGCTGTGATGATTCTTGTTCCAAGAGTTATGGGTCAAAAGGGTTTCTCCTTTGGAATTTTTTCTGGGTTGTGTTTCATAAAATTGGATAAATCATTTCTATATTCGTTCATTTCACTCTATACAACTCTCTACAGAACCACATTGCAGCGTGCCCCGGAGACCCATCCTTCGAGGGCCTCTTTGAGCATTCGCGACTGGTTATCCACCGTCTTCTGAGCCAACCAAGCCAGATGCGGCGTTACCAGCAGATTAAGATTCTGAGTGTCTGGCCTCAACAGTGGAGAATTATTGGGCCCTGCCGGTTCCTCGCTGAAGACATCAGTGGCTGCTCCTGCGATCTGGCCTTCCTTGAGGGCTTTGACAAGAGCTTCTTCGTTAACAACTCCTCCGCGAGAAACATTGATGATCAACGTGCGGTGTGACATGGCTCCTAGTTCTTCTGTCGATATAAGATCCCGAGTCGACTCGGTCAGTGGAACTGCGAGAAAGATCACGGTGCTTTGCTTGATCACCGTTTCGAAAGAGGTTCTTTCTATGCCACCGACTCCATTTACCGAGGTATGATTGCCGGGATCTTTGCGCCCTGAGATCAAAACTTTCATGCCCAGGCCTCGTGCCAGCTCGGCAAGCCTTTTCCCTGCTTTCTGTCAGAATCACCGGGGACAAACTTCACAGGCGTGGTAAATGATGCAAAGAGATATGTGTACGAAGTTACTTACCCACAGTTCCGTTACCGATTAGACCCACCACCTCCTCCTGACACGTCAATGGCGGCGCCCCGTCGCGATCCAGAGCCTGATACATGAGCGTCGACTGTTGAGGCCATTGCCCATCGCGCGTCAACGAATGCAAAGGCAGCATTTTGCGCCTCGTGGCGAAATACATCCCAATCGCATGTTCCGATACGGCTTCGAAATTCGCCGACGGACAATTGCTCACAGCAATGCCCCTTTTTTTGCACGCCTCGAGGTCTAAGCAGTCGGTCCCCGTGGCCACGACGACAATTAATTTGAGATGTGGCGTTACCTCCGGGGACAGCGAAATCGCATTGATGTGAAGTCTCGAGAAGGCCAGGATCGTGGCGTCGTGGATGCGCGCGTTGAGATCAGCGGGCGAAGTTTGGGGATAGATCGCCTGGGTGTAGGTATTGGGGGCCGCGAGTTCATACTCGGGAACGTCGATGAAATCGGCCTGAAGGTATACGATGTGATGGTTCGTCATGACGAATTCTGTGCGATCGGATTGTTGGTCTTTGAGAATTGGATCGGAAGATGCGACCAGCGAGTGCTTTAAATCGAAGCGACCGTTATCGATCTACTTCTCCAAACAACTCCACATCCCCCACGCCTTTTGAACGACAGCAGTGGGTCTGTCATCATTCGCCGCGAATCGATGGTCAGAACGAGTCTACTCTCCCTCTCTTGCGGTCTTACATGCAGCCCGGATCGCATCGTTGCAAGTTCATTGGAGCTGGGCCTTGTTGCTATCTGACGCCTCAATTGACCACCTTCGCCACATTTGTAGCTTCGTGTTAATTTGCTTAGGACTGCAATTCGTTGGAGCAGTACCTTCTGGCTCGCTTAAAGTTTCACTTGAACATATTTTTGCCAGGGTCTGGTGAGTTTAATTCATGCCATGTCGAAGCTACTGCCATTTTCATAGGCCCGACAAAACACTCCTGACAGCGGTCTTTCCTTTAATAGTCAAGTGCAATGCATATCCAGATAATGAATAGACATCAAATACCCCCAAGCCCTCCGACTCGCCTGGAACCCGCTTAGCAAGAAAAAGATCGGGGCGAGTGGATATCCAGGGAGATGTCTCCGGTCCCTGTTTTAATGAGAGAGGCTGGTCCTTAATTCCCCGGAATTCACCAAAGCATTTCAGGAACAAGGTCACCATTGAAGCAATGAGGGCGAGAGCATCCCAAACGCCCCGTGTTGGGCCTTTCGGGGAAAAGGATTCCAGAGCGCGTGCCCTCCTTGCATACGGCATCGCATGCCCCTTGGTCGCACATCTACTCCGTACGAGCCAGACGAGTCAACCGCCAAGGCCAAATTGGTACCTGGATACTCATTTGCCGATCAATTCCTGATTGTTTTTGCAAGCTCTCGGCCTCACATTCCAGTATCACCCGCCCATTGTTGCCAAAATTGAGGATGCCTCAGATGCGCTCCTACATTCCATGCGCCGCGGAGCTGTTGATCTGGGGCACGCGAAAGGCATTGAGTCGAGAAACGCGTCGATGGGCTCCATAGCCCGGACATAAAAGGCTCGCGCCATCGGTGCGTTGAGTAGCGTTTGACTCTTTCCTCTCAGCAACCACATCCACTCAGCAACCACTCCCGACCTTTACGAGCCCGGCCAAAAGACCTCCATTCCTTAATTCACTCATCAACATGCGTTTCACCAGCGTGAGTTCCTCCAGTTCCTCCCTTTCTTTCAGTCTCGCCATCCTCGACAAGACAAGAAGATCGTTCGCAAACTAACCATCCCCAGCTCATCGCCACTGCTCTGGCCCTCGCTCCTTCAGCCGTGTACAGCTACGGCGTGTTCACCGCACACTTGAGTGAACATGAGGGCTGCCACCCCGGCGACTGGCCCAACGGGCCCCTGGACAAGCCCGAGGCCACGGCCCTGACGCCAGACACCTGTACCAAGGTGTCCACGAAACACAGCTTCGCGATTGACGCGTACTCGCTCTCCGTCGAAGCCATCACCAAGGATGCCACATGGGACTGCCACGGTGTGGGCATCTTCAGCAACGACGAGTGTGTCGGCTACCCTGACATGATCGTGCCCATCCACCCTAAAGACCACCACATTCAGACTCCGTGCTTCTCGGATGTGCACTACGAGCGACACCTCTCGATCAAGCTTTACTGTGAAAAGGATTAGAGGATCTTGTTACCAGGGGCTGGAGTTGGGAGGAGGGATGCTGTAATGGGTGGGGAGGTGGTTGCGAGATTGTATTCATACCATGTTTCTTAATTTCTACATCTTTATTTTACGATACTATGTTTTGGAAATCATACTCTATTTTGTTATGAACATGTCTTTATCGTGTGTCCAAGTATAAACCTTAGAACAAGTCAATGACATTAAACCACCATGGTCGGTATACTCCCAGTGCCAGGAAGGAGTTATTCAACATATATGGGAGAACTATGGAGCAAAGTTTTCATTCGTGTCCCTCCCCTCCGCTGTCTATATTGAGCGTAGTAAGGGATTCTTATGTATTTTTTTTCTCAATTTTCCCCATAGGTCTTTATACCTATGCTAAGGTCACAATCTGGAAACGGTACACAGTATAGAATTGTGATATCTTTGGAAGTTCTACATGAGGGCGTAAGGGCGTATCGCCTGTATCTATAGTCTGGTCACTCTAGCGTGGCCCTGCAATAAATGGGAGCCGAAATAGAGGATAATGGAATGACACAGAATAAATCATCATGAACAGACAAGCTCTCTGCCGAGCTACAATCCCTCAGCACCGGAAATAATTCTAGGTAGTCTGAGCAATCAAGCCCCAAGCCCCCAAACAACCCAAAAAGCCTCACATACCAGACCCTTCACCAAGCTTTGCCCCAAATACCTAACCACCAAACAACACGCCCCAGACCATACAAAACGAAAGAAACACCACCCCAAAAGCGCCATCTTCCATAGAAAGATTTAAAAAAACGCCCAAAAATTCACCACCCGACGCGCCCACCCAGTCCTCCAAAGCCATCACGGTCGCCACGTCCTCAACAATCACCACACACGAACATCCAACGCGACATCTCTACTTAATATGGTGCCTCTGGAATGCCATGGCTGTCGATCGTTACCGCCGCCCGCCTAGCCCAAGAATGTCGGCTCTGGGTGCTAGGTGACGATCAGCTTCTTTTTTGGAAGCTTCGCGGTTTGTATAGCGGATTAGGGGATTCTTGCTTGGGGATGGGTGGATGGGGAAGGGAGATTGAGAAGTCTTAGGAAATTAATTGGATGGCTGGTTATGGTGTATAAATATGGGATGATGGTCTCTGAGTTGTATACCAATTCAACTTTATCGACATATTCAACACACTACTCGCCTGTTCTTTCCTTCTTGTCTTGTCTTTCCGACTGACTTGATTCTTGATATCGTGCATATTCCGTTGAATTCATCTTCATATCATCCTCCACATACAAACACAACCAACACCAGAAATTCCATCAACACCGGTCCCAAAATGCTTCAACCAAAGGTACACTACCACCCTCAATACTACACCCAACCAAACCACCCAACTAACAAACCCACCAGCAACTCCTCTCTCTCTCAATCCTGCTCCCCCTCGCCGCCTCCGCCCCAGCAGCAGCAGCATCCGACCTCCAATTCCACACAACGGCGCTCCTAACGGCAACCTTCTCCCCAAACTGTCCCGCGGACACCGACGACCGCAGCAACAGCGCCCTCCAGTACGACCCCTCACCCAGCCTCTCGTTCTCCCACGACAGTAAATCCCAAAGTCTTGACTTCACGCCGCACCTCGATATCAGCAGCACCGCGCCGCTTCGACCAGGCGCGTGCGTCGGTCTCCCCGTGCCCCTCGAGTACTCGTCCCTGCTTGTGGATCATCTCTCTGTGTCGGCGAGTATTCAGCATACGCATCCTCGTCCTTTGAGGGGGGCGAAGGCCAAGAAGAGGGAAGGGAAGGAGCAGTGCAAGATTACGGTTCATGAGTTGCCTGGGTGTGAACAGGAACCAATCCTGGATGTGGAGATTGATGAGGGGGAGAGGAGCGTGGAGAGTGGGTGTGTCAGGAGGAAGTTTTTGGCGTTTGAGTTGGTGTGGGCGAAGTTGAGTTGTGAATTTGAGGAGGACGAGGACGATGATGAAGACGATGAGGATGACGATGACAGCGATGATGAAGATGATGAGAAGCCCTGGACGAACGACAAGCATGGGGGTTTGGCGAACTCGACTGTGCCGGCGACGAATTCGACGGGCAGGTTGAGTGTAGGGAAGAGGAGGACGAAGTTGCCGATCTTCTAGAGCAGGGATTTGGGGGTTTGAATGTTTGATTGGGGGGGGAAATTCAGGTTTATTGGATCTCGGTTTTTGGGACCTTGCTTGTGCTTGTGCTTGGTTTGATGTTATATTTGAATGTCCTTGAGCAGTTGAAAAGTATACCGAACTTGATCAATTAATTAATAAGAATCAATCAATCAATCAATCAATTGGCCTCTCCATGATCAGATGCTCGTAGTATACAGCTAACTATATGCAATATAAAACCACCTAGATAGAAAGAACATGGTCAACTGAACAAAGAGCACGAGAGAAAAAAAAAAAATTTTCAAAACAGCCTGCCTTGAGAGAACATGCTCGCAATCTCAATCCGCCTAAAATCCAAAACTGTCGAGAAGCGAGTTGGCATCGGGTTCGTGGAAAGTCGTCGGAGGTGGCTTGGGCTTCGGTTTCTGCGGACTTTCTGGAGCCTGCGTGAGCCCGGGCTTGATGGGCATGTCCGCCACCACAAGGCTGCTTCGTCGGCGAAGCATCTTGCGGTAATCCACTGCGTTCTCCTGCAGGTCCAGCGCACTTTGCTTGGGTGCCGGGGGAGTGGGCTCGCCCAAGAACTCCCAATGGCGGACGAGATCAAGGGCGAGAAGGTCACATCCCATGCGGTCGTAGAGGCGAGCGTTGCGCAGAATGAACTCCCACTCGGACCGAGCAGAGACTTTGGACGCGCCTTTGAGGGTTTGAAGCGTTTTGTCTCGGAGTTGGGTATATAACACCACCAACGCGGGATCGTTAGAAAGGTATGATTTCGCTTGCAAGGGAATCAATCCGGGGCTGCCGGGAGAGGCAGGCGTTGAAGGGAGAAGAGCCTCAACGGGTGACTGGTTTTTTTCTCATTAGTCTGGTGCTCCTCACAGCACAAAGGTCCGGAATCTTACAATAAGCGAACGCACGGCCATATCCCGACGACCGAGCATCCAGAAAGCCCACGAGGCCATCCATCGGTTTCCGTCCGAAGCAGCTTCGGGAAGCACTCGCTCTTCCAGGATCTCTTTCAGGACGGGCCCGTCGTCACCTTCGTAGGCGCGTATGATCGCTATGGCGAGCTGCAGATCGCCAACCTGGTTGATACAGACCTGAGCTGCATCACGCAGGTGGTCTGCAAGAAGGAACCACGCGGCGGCATATTCTAAAGCAAGTGTTAGACCAGACCAGGAAGACCAACAAACAGTTGAAGTTAATAGCACGACCTACCAAACCTTCGTTTGCCTAGTAAAGCGTACGCGTTCTTCAAAGCCGACGTCTTCCATCGAGGGTCCTGGAAATCGTTCGCCAGCAGCCGCTGCGTAGCGCCTTGTTCTCGGTTCCAAGAAGCCATGCGCCAGAGACCTTGAAGAATGTTCTTCTTCTTCAGTGCGAGGTAGAACAGCGAACAGTTGATGGGGTTCTTCTCTTCCGTTTTCGTATATTCATTGCGAGCTACAATTTCGAGTTGTGTGCGCTAGTCATCAAGTCAGATCATGAATTCAAGCTGCAGGGGATTTCCAAAACTTCTTACAATGGCTGTAGGGTCCGACAACCACATGAAAATCCCGCTTTCTCTGGCCGATTTCCAGAGGACCTTGCCGCCAAACTGTCTGGACACAAGGTCGAGAAGAATATCCTGGCTGCCGCTATGGAAAGCCCAGACAATTTCTCGCCATGATACCGTGCCCTTGTTGGCGACACCCTGCGTCCTGCGCAGCATGTGCTGCCGGAAAAATAGTAAAAAGCGCGCGGCATTATCATCCATGGAACGCCGGTGCTTTTCGACCGTGGCTACGCACTCAATGGTGTCTGCCAGGCGGAACTGCTCCTGACTGGTAAGCTGCGGCAGAGCATACCGAACCAGGTTTTCATTAAGCAACGTTGCGGTATTCTCATCAATGACCGAGGCTTCATCCTCTAGACTGAGGTCCGCATATGCGGAGTGTAGCTCCTTCGATGATGCATTCTGCGGTGTCTGCGCTAATGTTAGCGGTTGTCCTCAACCCTCCGGCATCCCTACTCACATCATGTTCCCGGTAGAAATTCTCCAGAGGCATTTCTAGGAAACTGTCAATACCATCGCCTTCCGTGTAGAACTTCAGTTTTCGGTGAAGGTTCAATAAGATAGAATGTACAAGGTTGCTCTTTCCGCTGAGAATACATTGTGCCAGAAACTGGGGGTGAAAAACCGGCAGAGGACCATTCAAGCGGCTCACCACCTCGAACAAATCGACTGAGGAGAGGCCCCGTGAAGGTATACGGAGCTGGATTACCACTCGATCGGAGACATCAATGTCGTTGTCGTACACAAATAGTTGATTTCCTGCCCCGATCACCAGATGGCCATTGCTGAGCCAGCATGAATCGCCGATTGGATGGGGTGTGAGATCCCGTATCCAAATCTCTCGTATTTGAGTCCAGGACGGTCGCGCGTCCAGGTAGTCGTAGCGAAGCTGTGATAGCAGCACGACCTTATGGGGGAAACCCACGGCAAGAACGGACTGCATATCGGGGGTAGAAGTCCAGTCAAGATCCCGAATGACATCCTGGGAGGAGAAATGCTCCTCGAACTCTAGCTGGGCGCCATTCGTGTCCCAGATGGTCAGGCGAGTGCGATCTTCGTCTACAAGCGCGGCTTTCCTGATGGAGCTTCCACTAGCAAGAGACGGGTTTGCAATCCCTGTTTCAACCGTCGATGTAAGCAGCCAATCGACTTGCTTCTTTTGCTTGTCAACCTTGGCAGTCCAAGTGTGAAGAACACCAGTGCTGGTGTATGACAGCGCAATGTCCGGTGAGAAAAGATCAAAAAAACCGGATCGCTCGGCCTTTGGACCTGCTGGGTCGACAGGCAAAATATAAGATACATCCTCGTTGAGCCCCAAATCAAAGTTACAGAACTTTCTCAGAGAGCTTTGGGGATCGTGCGTGTCGCCGTTCACTTGCGATTTCGAGGTAGGAAGTCGAATTTCCCAAGCGATTCCTTTCATGTCCGCTCCGATTGTTGCGATATACACTACGTCGGAGCCGTTCTGCGCGGCGGGAATCGAGAGAACACAAAGCGGTTTGCTAGAGAGCTCGAATGCCGATGACGCCAGTTTCTCGGCGTGGAAGGAGCGAATGTCCCAGACCGAGATCCCCTTATGATGGAGATTCACCAAGAAATCTCCGTCTTCGAGCACGCAGCTGCGATGGATGTGCTCGTCTGAAAACAACGAGCTCCGGCGGACAAGGGTCGATCCACTCTCCCTCCGCTTCTGCCGCCAGATCATAGCTTTGTTGTCATCGGTGCGCGAAACAAGAGTGTTTCCGATTGCATTGCGGACAATCTTCTTAATCGATCCATTGTGTCCAGTCCAGGATGATTTCTTGCTCACGCGATTTTTGCGCGGAGCCGGATCAAATAATACATCCACATGGGAGTCAAACCACTCAATCCGACCGTCAAAGTGATGAACAAGCACGGATATTGAGTCGCTTGAAGGTACGCTCTGGAAGGCACACATCTGGACATAATCCTCTTCCGCAGAAAGCCCGTTCATAAACGAGAAATCCAAGCCTTCCACGTGGAGGATGTTGAAGCTTTCCAAATCCGACTTGACTTTGGACCCTACGTCTTCCAAAGCCCACGCAGACATATGACCCTCTCCATCGATCACCACGCAGATCTCCGGGCTCTTGTTTGCGACCTCAATGATGTGCTCCAGCGCGTGGTTCCCCTTGTTCCCTGTACTTCGCTGCACTGCACGTTCGGTAGCGACACAAAAGTCCCGACTATCAACCACGAATCCATAGCGACGGACCGGCCCCTTCTCATCCGTTGCGTGTCGCGGTTGAACCGAAACCCCCATGTCAATCTGGGTCCATAGCTGTAATGCAGACGGAGCATGGTGGTCCACAGCCGCCCATACCCTGATCTTGTTGTCCGCGCACCACGTATAGAACGCATTATCCATAGATTGTTCTCGATGATACGGTTTGCGCCAATGCATTCCCGTCACAACCGCAGGATGCGGCAGATATGACACCTCGAAGCGGACATCGTAAGCCCCAAACGAAAGCCTCCGCCACACCTTGACCAGTCGGTCGTAATGACCCGTCGTCACGACAAGGGTCGCGTCGGGCGAGAATTGCGCAAATTTGGCCGGTGTCGCCAGTTTCTGCTTCCACACCTCGCGCGGCGTGTCATTCAGGAACCAAAGCGTGAGGTGGGAATTCCCGAGGAGCAACTCGTCGGGAGAGCCCCACGATAGCGTACGGATCGGTTCGTCGTCATCGTCGGAGCGAAAGGTATGAACGAGAGACCACTAGAGTATATATATCCCTCATCAGCACCGTTGTTCTCCAGTCTCGACCCGCGATTCGGTCTTTCCCGCAGATCATTATCCCATCCCCTTTCTAAGTCCCATGGAAGACACACGGACCTTTAGCGTTTCGTCCAGGATTCCATACGGCTGATAAATGAAGACATCGCGTCCCCCACACACTGCAACCTTGCCGGAAGTCTCATCGATCGTCACTGCCTCCAGGGCGTCGGTGTCGTCAACGTAGATTGTTTGGAGGAGCTTGTGCGGGCCGCCGAGGATAACCAGCGCATGGCCGGAAATGTACACCTGGATGGAACAGAAGGTACCGGGTTAGCCATGTCGGAAATAGACGATACTGGCGAGAAAAAGACGGAAATAATTGTTGGAAAACAACCATACCACGACGCGAAGACCATCCCACAGCGCGGTGCTGAAAGACTGGAGCTTCGTCGGGGGTCTCCCCGGCAGTACCGCTCGCATAGAGACGGTGGTTTCTGGTCGCTGACGTCGGACGCTGGCTGCGCTAAAGATGGTGTTACACCATTGCCAGGCACAGAGAAATAAAACAGGCGAAACAAAAGATTAATGTAGCAAAAAGCGAATGGAAAGAATCGGCTGCGCCACGAGTGACGTGGGAGTTCAGGAGTGCGAATCTTTGAGTTGGGGAAGTTCGGAGGTGTTCAGATTGATTACGTTGTGGCCGCCGCGCCGCCTTCCGTCGTGACTGCGGCATGCGATCATCGGCCCCCGGACTAAGAAATAAGAATATAGATTGCAGGATTAAGAATAACGTCTTATATACACAAGAAGGTCATGACTGGGATAACAGAACAGAACATAAACACCAGTTTACACTGCTGCAGAATACAGGTCGTTGGAACAACGCGAAAGGGTATCACAATACGCCCATCCCAAGTCTAAAGCTAGAAGATACAGAATGGCATTCACACGTGTCGAAAATATTAAAATATGTCACATCCGTCGTCCGGACGATCTCCTACCGTCCGTGGGTGATTCCGGTTCCTCGTCGACGAACCGGACGCTGGTCGCTAGGGAGCTGGCCCGGCCGTTGCGAGGTCGTTTGCTCGAGGCGGTCTTGGGGACCGCTGAATTCGTCCTGGCACGTAGGAGTCGACTCGCAAACGGCGTCTGCAACGGGGTGGCAGGCGTGGTGGACACCTGGGCTAGTACCCTTGCGCGCGCAGCCCGCTTCGAGGGAGAAGTCATATAGTTGGGAGTAGCCAACGGGTTGGGAGAAGGAGCCGGAGAGCCGCCGACAAAGTCACCGAGCTTGAACGGTGTCTCAGACTGGTACCAAGGATCGAATATTGCTTGATCTGTTCGACCGGCTCCGTCAAAGGTTTTTGAAGGGCTCATAAGGGGCCCAGGAGAATCGCGAGCTTCGATATTCAATCGGGTCTTATCAAGCCAGTGACGGAACATACCTCTTGAATGTCTCCTTAGACTTCGCTCTCTCATGGCGCCCGCAGTCTCGACAGAGCTCTTAATCTGGAAAACGCGCAGGCTGAGCTTCCGAAGATGGACGTTGGCCTGGGCCAGGACATGCAGGTGATACACGCTATCCGCCTGTTCTCCTAGGCGATGCCATTCTATCAGGACCTCAGCTAACCGTATCAAATGATTGTAGGCGATGCGTCGGAAATAGTAGGTGTCGGCACTTGCTGTATCCTTTATTTGTTTCTGACTTTTCTCGTGCCACTGGCCTAAAAACCCAGATGCCAGCTTCAACGACTTTCTTCGGCTGAATTGCAGGGCCTGCTGCTCCAAGTCAGAAACATGCTGGGCTTTGATACTCCATGAATTCAAGACTCTGGAAGCGAGGTTGATCTTGATCTTTCTTCGGGTTTGCGCGTAGGCATCTTGTCGGCGCCGCTTTGCAGCTTCCACCGTTGCTACTCGCCACTTTTTCAGCGCCCTTGTTGAACCGAAATAGAATTGTGCATCGCGGGCCCATCCGTCAAGCTTCGCTACGTTGTCAAGCTTCGATCGCCATGCCACGAGTGACTCCTGCGCCAACCGGGGTGCGTAAAACTCAACTGCAACGACGTCACGCTGATGTTGGAGGGAGAGCTGGTTGCGCCACAAGGTAAATTTTGACCGGAGAAGGTCTTCGTTTCGATGGTCCTCGTGTCGTTCTGCTTTGTCGAGTAGTCGAGAGTACGTCCTTCGCACGTTGGTAACGAATGTGGAAAATACATCGCGTGTTATCCGTTGCTCTCGAATGCGCTGCATTAGCCGGTACCGTTCCGCCAGTATCCATTTGTACATGGTTTCCATCTTTAGACGTTCCTCGATTCGCGCACTAAGAGCCTGGCATCGGAGCAGATCATTCCACGAAGTCCACGAATTGCGCACGAGTCTTTGTCGATTCATTTCCCTTGCTTGTGTTACCATCTGGGCTCGTTTCACCCATTGTCCGAAAGCCGTTTTAACGATGCGATTGTCAACCATGCCCGCAACACGAGACGCGGCTGGAGCAAGTTGACACTGGGTCCTCCATTCCCCCAAACTATCTTCCAAAAGCTGCCGGCGCTCTCGGGAGACTGTTTCCTGCTGGCCAGCGGCGATGGCCTTTGATCGCTGAGCCCAAGTTTGCCATGTCAAAGCGAGCGCGTTGTGTTTATTCTTCAGCTCAATCTCATGAATTCGCTCTCTGTTGTTTCGAAATTTCCGTAACCAGTATAACAGCGACCGCCTCTTTAAACAGTTATCGTACCACTGCGGAGCTCGCCGTTCGCAGAAACACCAAAACCATTGCCAATAAACATTATGCGTAGATTGTTGGTTACACCTTACCACTGCCTTTTGCTCTGCCTCTTTGACCTGATGAAGTTTCTTCTTCCAAACATTGAAGGGCCTTCGCAATGCGAACCTCTGCGCCTTGAGTTCGTTGACCGCGGTTATATCTCGCCACGCATTAAAGTATTTAACACCGAGAACATGTTGTCGCACCGCGGACGTCCTCGCAATTTCTTCGGAAGACACTTGAGCCCAATGGGTGAAAGCTTTGGTCATGAGATAGAGGTCCCTAGCCCTTCCAGCACGCTCTTCTATATGCTTGAAGAACATTTCCGTCCGCTCTACTTGGCGCTTTCTCTGAATAATCGTGTGCCACGTATCGAAAGCCTGGCGAACAAGAGTAAGACGGTCTCGATTGACAGCAACCACTTCCATATTTTGATGGCTCTGTCGCGTCTGGATCGCCTTTTTCAGCCATTGGGTGATGATGCGGCGATTGATGGCTCTCTGACGGTACATATTGAATGTCGATGCATCTCGTAGTAGATCTGATAGTGACGGCCGATATAGCATCTCGAGCGGAACCTCGGGTCGGCCAACGGTCTCACTTGGGTCATCCGAGGCCGATGACTCTTCCACATCTTCATCGGAATCCCTTGGGCTCGGCGAGCGCCGCCGACGTCGTGATTGTGAGACTTCTGCGATTCTCTTTGAGCGGTCTTCGTCAACTGCAGACCTAGCTTCGACACCATTAGAGGGTGGCTTTTGATTCTTTTCCGGGTCCAAGAGATCTATCCTGCTCATCAAGCGACGTCCCACATCAATAAACTGTGCCATCAGTTGGGTTCTATCTGGGGAATTCGGTTGTTTCTTGGTCCCCGCGTTTCTTGGTGGTGATTGCCGGGGTTCTATGAAAGCAGGCTTCTCCAGAGGTAGACGAGATAGCGACGAGCGCGAGCTTGGCCGATTGAGCAGGCTCCGTTGCGTGGGGTCGTCGCCAACATCATACATCGAATTGAATGAAGCTCGTCTTCGTTGAACTGTTTGCGTGGTGTCATCCCTAGGCGTATTGTCGCGGTCCACTCTCGCTCGGAGTCGACCATCCACCACCGGCGCGCTATCTTCATAAGTTTCGTTTTCTTCATCATTATCATCATTACCCCCGCCGAATTCTATTACTATTCCGTTCTGTTCCAGCAGATTCTCAAACTTGTCAAAAAGCGTATCGCCTACGATGTTCTTCTTGCCCATCTTGAGCAAGAATCGCATGCAAGCATAGCCCGGGTCCGCGTCCACGCCATGTTCTGCAATGACCTCGTCGTACGCTTGGAAGAGAACTCTGAAAGGAAGGCGCTCGACTTCCGGGCTCCGCTCGGCGCGGGTGATAACCTGAAAGAGAAGGCCGACATCTATGGAACAGGCATTGTTAGTCTCCTGCTGGTAGCCCTGGAGGGACAAAGTTCAGGGGACATAAGCAATGTAAACAGCGCGATCACACACCTTCGTCAGAAAGCGATGGGTCTTCGTAGGACAGAGGTCTACGCTGACGGGAAACGGGAGGCATCGAAATATCCACGACCTAAGGCGTGTTTTTCGCAAGTAGGTCATGGAGGCGGGAAAGGAAATCAACCATTGCGAGGCGAAGCGCGGGCGGCAAGTCGCAAAAGTGGAAGCGTGCGATTCCTCCGGGCCGCGATTCCAGGAGCGAATTCAAAGACGCAAATCGATAGCAGCGCAGGAAACAATGGTCGGAGCAGCCTCGATGGATTTGTTTTGCTCGTGTCGCGCCGGACCAAAGACAGCATCGGCATGTGCGGGTCAGGTGATGTGCTTAGGTAACACCGCCGGGGGAGGCCATTTCTGAGCGTCGTAGTATTGCATCACTTCCTACTCCGTTGGAGCGATCAATCAGCGTGAAAATGGCGTCGACACGAACGAGACCGATTGAAAAATTCGCAAAGGCCACCTCGAAGTGCTCTACCGAGGTATGCTCCGTTCTCCACTGACCTGCCTTGCTTCAGAGGATGCATGCTGACTTGACTTCCAGGCGGCTGCATATGGCAACTGCATTGTTGCCGACTACAAATCGGTGCATAAAGACATGTGTGCTAAAGAGTTCATGAAGCTGAAAGACTGTTTCCTGGTAAGGGATTGTAATATGTGGTTGCGTGTCCGGGTTTCATGCTAATCAAGACTTGCTTGCTCAGGCTGCGGCGAAGAAGGGTTAAAAAAAGGTGGAACGGGCAGATGCATGTATACCTATTGAAACTCTGGAGTCAAGTCGGTTGTATCGGTCAGGTGCCTCGGTGATTTCTTTCTTTCTTTTTCACCTCTATTTCCCTTTTATTTTCTTCCTCTTTAAACGTACTTTGATTCAAGAACCTGCAACAGGTAGTACTACATAATTACGATGCAATGATAAGGTCATAGAAGATGATAAGCTCTAGATTTTATAGATGTAATGCTTTCTCTTGAGAAATGTATAAGAAAATGAAAATGGCAAAAAAAGAACTATTTCACGTCGCACATTCAAACATAAACCGAAAGTCTAAAGCTTAAGCAGCTTCAACAAAAACGTCGCTTTTTGAACTTCCTGCTCTTCCTGCATGATCACGCGGTCATCATCACCGCCGGGGGCCTTGCCGTCAACGGGCGTTTGTCGGTCGAGCGGTCTACGCAGAACCTTCTCAATAGCGCCAGACTGCGAGTCAAAAGCATCGTTGAGACCGATGTTCTCAGGGTCCGAAAGAACCGTGTAAGCCATGACCACGTCATCGGTGGGGACCAGACCAGCCTTCTTACGAAGACGCTGCACACGGTTGATGATCTCGCGGCCCAATCCTTGATGCGCCAATTCCGGGTAAAGGTTGACATCCAGGATAGTCATAACGTCCACATCGTTGTTAGGCTCCATGCCCTGGGAGGATGGGTCTTCCTTGATACCGCGCTTCACCACCAGGTCACCCTCGAAAAGCTCAATGCCGTCAACGACAATCTTCTTGTCGGCCACGTACTTCTTAACGTCCTCACTAGTGAAAGAGGGGAGCGCCTTCTTAACCTTCTGGACGTCCTTCTTCAGTTTCTTTCCAAGAGTAGGCCAGTCAGCAGTAACACTGTACTGGACGTTGTACTTCTCCTCATCTGTAGACAAGACTACTTCAAGAACGTTCAGTTCCTCAAGTATATAGCCCTCGAGGGATTTGACGTCGTCCAGATACTGCTGGTCCTGGTGGATCACAACGAGGGACTTCAGAGGAGTCTTCAATCCGACCATGCGACGCTCTCGGGAGGTACGTCCCATCTCAATAACTCTCTGCATCCGGGACACTCTCCGCTCGACAACCTCGTCGAAGAGCTCCTCACGCACCTCGGGGAAAGGAAGGAAGTGGACACTTCGGCTATCTTCGCCGCGGAGCGCTTCAGGGATGTGGGGAAGGAGTCGCAGGTAGATGGTATCGGTGATGAAAGGTGTGAAAGGTGCGAGCCCTCTGACCAGGGTGTAAAGAACTTCGAACAAGGTGTTCAAGGCGTGCAGGGTATCGTTAACGCCGTTCTCACCCTTGAGACGTCTCCGGTTGAACCGGATGTACCAGTTGGTGGTGTTCTCGATAAGTCCAAGCAGGCGAGGAACGACAGTGTACAGGCGATAGCCTGCCATCTCCTCATTCACAAACTTGAGAAGACTTTGGCAACTTGCCAGGATCCAGCGATCCATAACATTAGTGTTCGTGGCCTCCGCCTTGGGGTCGAACTCGTAGTCGATGTTCTCGGTCTTCTTAAGAAGGGCGACCTGGCCTTCGAAGAATTTGTAGCTGTTCCACAGAGGAAGAAGAACCTTGGCAACCACCTCCTTGACACCCGTTTCCTTGAAACGGAGGGGCTCTGCGCGGACGACGGGAGAGTTGATCAAATACAGTCGAAGAGCATCCGAGCCATACCGATCCATGATCAAAGAGGGATCGGGGTAGTTCTTCAATCTCTTGGACATCTTCTTTCCATCCTCAGCAAGGACAATTCCGTTGACGACACAGTTCTTGAACGGCAATTTGCCAAAGAGATGGGTACCCAGGACAGTCAAAGTGTAGAACCATCCACGGGTCTGGTCCAGTCCCTCAGCGATGAAGTCACCGGGGAAGCTCTGCTCAAATTGCTCCTTGTTTTCGAAGGGGTAGTGTTGCGAGGCGTACGGCATGCTACCCGATTCGAACCAGCAATCAAAAACTTCAGGAACACGACGAAGTTCGCCCTTGCCCTGCTTGCTCGGGATGGTGATGTTGTCCACCTTGTCACGGTGAAGGTCGGTGAGCTCGCCTTGGTAGCCGCTCAGTTCCTTGAGCTGCTCAGCGCTGCCAACAGCCACAACCTCCTTGAAATCGTCACTAACCCACAGAGGGAGCGGGGTACCCCAGAATCTGTTTCTAGAGACGTTCCAGTCTCGGGCGTTTTGAATCCAGCTGGCGAACCGCTTCTCCTTGACGAAAGAGGGCACCCAGTGAGAGCCCTCAATGCCCTCGAGCATTTGGGGGATGATCTGAGGGATCTTGATGAACCAGGCAGGGACGGCCCGGTAGATCAACGGGGTATCCGAACGCCAACAGAATGGGTAACTGTGAGTGATCTGGCTATCAACGATCAGGCGGCCAGTTCCCTTCAAGTGCTTAATGATGGCTTTGTCGGCAGCCTTGACATGCTGACCGGCGAAATCCCGGACCTCGGCCGTGTAAATACCACGTTCATCGACGGGGTTAGGAGGATTACGCTTCTCGTCGATAACGCCGGACTCCATGGCGACCCTGTAATCGTCCTCACCAAAGGCAGGGGACTGGTGGACAACACCAGTACCGTCATCAGCCGTGACGTATTCGGCATTCAAGACGCGGAACCCGTAGTCCTTAAATTCCTCATAGAAGTAGTCGAAGAGAGGAACGTACTTCCAGTCCTTCATCGCCGATCCCTTAAGCCGATCAACGATCTTGAACTTGGCCTTCTTGGGGTCCTTGTAGAGGGTCCGGAGCAGCGATTCAAGGAGGATGTAATGCTTTCCAGAAGCTTCATCAAGGATCTTGACGTATTCGAAGTTGGGATTGACCGAGAGACCGGTGTTCGAAGGGAGTGTCCAAGGAGTGGTGGTCCATGCGAGCAAGCAAGTCTCGGGGTCGTTCACCAAGGGAAAAGATACGACAACTGCAGGATCTTGCACATCCTTGTAATTTTGTTGGGCTTCAAAGTTGGAGAGAGGGGTGTTGAGAGCGGTGGAGTAGGGCATGACACGGTATCCTCTATAGACAAGGTCCTTATCAAACAATTGCTTGAAAACCCACCAAACGGACTCCATGAACTCCGTGTTCATAGTCTATGCAGATGGAGAAGATGTATTTTAGCATATGTTCAAACATCGTGGAACCGAGGGGGAGGTATCTCTTGGCCGGTGCCAACCACAACATAAATAAGGAACGGGAGGGGAAACCAACCTTGTAGTCATTGTCGAAATCAATCCAACGACCCAGTCTATCGATAGTCTCACGCCATTCCGAAGCATATCTCATGACAATGGCGCGGCACTCCTCGTTGTATTTTTCAATTCCGAGTTTTTCAACGGCCTCCAGACCCGACATGCCCAACTTCTTGTCGATCTCATATTCAATGGGCACACCGTGGGTATCCCAACCGAATCGACGTTCGACATAGTGGCCCTTCATAGACCAATATCTGGGGATAATATCCTTGATAGTGGAGGCCAGCAAGTGACCATAGTGAGGCATGCCGGTCGCGAACGGAGGGCCATCGTAGAAGGTATAAGGTTTGCGGCCCTGAGAAAGCTCAACCTGCCTTCTGAAGGCATTGATCTCCCTCCACCTGGTGAGGATGTTCACCTCCTCGGCAGGGAAATCGATAGACATGACGGGCGGGGGAGCTGTCGTCAAACTGCACTCGTTGGCGATCTTCAAAGAAGGGAGAGAATCGCGGGGTAGATAAAAAAGAAATCGGCAAGTGAGTCACCCCGCGCCGGACTGCCCACTTGGTCGCTGCGCCGTCCCGTAGCAGTCCACGCCCTTTCGACCGCCACAGGGCGTAAGGCGCATGCTCTCATACTTCCTTACTCCCAATGGAATGTGGTTACGGCAGGTTGGATTGTTACAATTGTGAGGCAGAGGTGAAAGACCACAAATATCATCCCTACGTGGACTTCAATGAAGTAAGACTAGTCATAATCGTCCTGGTTTGGTTGTATGTCAGAAGCAACAAAGGCAGATAGAAGTAGATCCTATCCGGCGATGCAGGAAGGAGTAAATAGTGCCTGAGATTAATGAGAATGTCTATGAATAGAACAAAGGAGCTTGCCTCAGCTGACCATAAGTCTCGAATCAGGAATCTCTGCATGAGAGTAAATAATAATTCTAAGTCAATCGAAATCAAAGATGTATGTATATTCAAGAGAACTAATCAAATTCGTCCACGCTAATCTTCATCCTCATCCTCATCCTCGTCGTCGTCGTCTTCATCCGAGACTTCCTGTCCGAGATCCTTGAGGCGTTTCTAGTAAATGAGGTTAGCCAACGGTATATGTTGTCGCGCGTATTCGGGCTAACTCACCTTATCATCACTTCTCTTAGTCTCCAGGTCACCAAATACAATAAGTAGATCCTCAAGTTCAGTCTGTGCTGCATTGCGGGCTTCTTCCTTTTCTTTAGCTTCCGATTTGGCTTTCTCGAGGGCATTTTGGGCCTCTTTGAGTGTCTCGGCAGATTTACGTGCATCGTCTTCGGTCTTCTTTGCTTTCTTTTCTGCCTCTTCCGCCCGTTTCTCTAAAGCAGAGATCTTGGAGGAGTAGTCGTCATGCACAGCTTGTGTATCCTGTGTAGAAGCCTTCTTGGCTGCGTCAAGTTCGGACAGCAATAACTCATTTGTAGACTTGAGACCTGCGATCTCGGACTCATTCTCCTTTTTGATAGCATCAAGCTCTTTTTGCAAGGACTCGTTCCGAGACTTGAGGTCCGCAGCTCCACTCTCATGCTGTTGCTTCCCAGAGTCAAGCTCCGATTGCAAAGACTTGTTTTTAGACTGGAGATCCGAAAGCTGCGCATCATACTGCTGTTTCCCAGAGTCAAGCTCTGATTGTAACGATTTGTTTTTAGACTGGAGGTCCGTGAGCTGAGCATCGTACTTCTTTTCCCCAGAATCAAGCTCTGATTGTAAAGATTCGTTCTTAGATTGAAGATCCGCAAGCTGCGCGTCGTATTGCTGTTTTCCAGAATCAACAATCGATTGCAGCGATTCATTCGTAGATTTGAGCTCCGTGACCTGGGTTTCATATTGTTGTTTTACTGAGTCAAGCTCGGTCTGGAGAGAGGTATTTGTCGATTTAAGCTCTGCAAGCTCGGTTTCATGCTGCTGTTTAGCCGAATCAACCTCTGTCTGCAAACTCTGTATCTTCTCATTCAGGTTCGAGACTTCAGCCGTGTGTTGCTTGTTGTTCTCGTCAATGTTGGATTCGAGCAGTTGAATCGTTTCATTTAAGTCCGATATTTCAGCGGCATGTCGCTCCTTCAGTTTGCTGGCATCAGACATCAGTCTTTCAATGGTTGTCTTGAGATCAGCCACCTCGCCCGAATATTGGTCCCCGGCGCGCGTGAATTCCGATTCTAGTGATCGGATCCGTTTCTGTAACTCGGCAACTTCGGCCTCGTGGTGTTCTTTCATCTTCTGACTTTTCCTTTCATGTTCATTCGAGGCAACCCTGAGTTGATTGTCAATTGCGCGGAGCTGATCGCCATGTTGTCTCATGAGCTCATTCATCTCCCGCTGATGCTCTTGCTTCAATGCTGACAGCTCCTGTTCGTGATTCCTCTGCAGTGAATCGTTAATTTGTTTGATCTTGGAAGCCTCCATCGTGCTCGTCTCTTTGGATTTCCTGTGATCAAGCTGTTCATGCTCCAGTTTATTTTGCAAAGCAATAAGGTCGGATTCTAGCTTTTGTATCGATTGGGTCCGGTCCTCAAGCTCCCCCTTGAGAGAATCGACCAGTTCACGCGAAACCCCTCTCTCAACGCCGTTGGTGATAACTGAAACCTCAAGGCCAGGCTCACGGTCAATTGAGCGAGTCAGACGGCCAAAATTGTCTTTGCAAAAGTCAATGAACGTGCGATCGAAATAGATCTCGAGAAGGCCTCCTTCGAGTTGTCCGGCCACTGTCTGTGGTAGGACTTCAAAGTCGCGAACCGCGGGAGACTCCCTAAATCGCGTGATCTTATCGATAAACTGGTCTCGCCCTAACTGCTCGATCAACAGCTTGTGCAATGTTTGCCGAGGAATCGGGGAGTCTTTCGATGAGAACTCATAGATAATTCCGAGCAAAACGGTGCAAAGGCCGGTCAAAAGTACGTATGGAGCCCCGCGATGTTTGATTTCTTGTAGCAAAGTTTGGATGCTACTCCCTTCTCCAAGGAAGTCATTCACGGCATCAGGCTCCTCAAAGAGCCACCCACAGAGCAACATGAGATACCCAAGAGTGATTCGTTCGTCATCCCCCCTTTGTATGCCAGTGATCAGGTTGCCAACTATGGTCTGAATGCAGGTGATGACTTCTTCGCCACTTTCGGCATCACCCTCCGTTACCTCCATAGCAATCGCCTTGGCTTCGGCATTTTCAAACAGCAGATGGAACATCAGAACAGAAGCCATCCACGTCTGATACGGATCGGCATTGCCTCGGAGTTCTGGCGGGGTAAGCAAGACAGACAAGATGTTAGGAATCTCATCCTGCCCGCTGACATGCCCATCGATGGCTCTTCGCAGAACATGAACGCGAATTCCAGTGTGGTGGGTGAAAAATGCTTTGACGCATTCACAGGCGGCAAGACGTGCGTCGAGAAGTTGAATAGTGGCAGGCTCGAGTGTGAGTTTGAGCAGAGCCTCCATCACATTGATGCGTTGGAATTCTTTGCCCGCTGCATCGCCGTTCACAGCGCCCTCGGTCGGTTTGACGCCCCAGAAGACCTCCACGTCGCCGAACCTTTCTTGCAGAGGTGGGTTTCCTCTGATCAGATCCGCAATGGTAGCCAGCGCCTATAAGCAATCAGCATTGAATCTCCAAGCCATAAGAGCCTGTCCCACAAACCTTAGACGTGACATTGACGCTGAATCTTTGGCTAAAAGCAGCACTTAACGCTTGCTCCATCACACCGTTATTCCAGAATGCCATTTGGTTGGCCGGTGTATTGATTCCACCGCGAACTAAAAACAGTTGAATTATAACCAGCAAGCCCCAGATATTCTTATCGCGATGAGCGAGCGTCCACTGGGGAGCAGGTTCACCAGAGTTCTGTTCTTGGTTCACGTCGGCGAGAAGCTTCGCTACTCTCTTGACGCAGCCCGTTTCCCTGAAGTATGACTGGTTGGAGATGTTGAGTCTTAGGAGATTGGCGAGCAAAGAGAGACAGTCTTCGACGACTTCCGATCCATGCGTCAAGGCACCCTCGGTTTCGATGAGGGAGAATACAAGATCGAATGCATTCTCGAATGCGACAAGCTTCTGGAATTCCTCGGATGCCGGGGTAAGCGCGATGAGGAGCAACAAGGCTTCTGTAAATCCACGACAATTGTCAGCGAATCTATTGTCGTGAAGACCTCTTATATCCGCACGAGTATCATACCATTCCGGACTGGTTCTCGAGCATCACCCAAAGCAGTGACGAGCCTCGGGATTCCCAGCGGTGCCGTCAATATACATTCCTGCGTTCTCTCCGGTCGCGCGCTCGAGATCTGGAACATCAATTGCAAGGAATATAGGCGAGAGTAGAATTCTCTGGTATCGAGTAGGTCGAGGAGGGCGGTGATGTTGTCTTGTCGCTTTCGCCCCGTTAGCGAGGCCAGTATTTCATATGCGGAGGAAGCATACCTGCGTGAACTCGTCGGCCAGCCAAAGAGCAATCTCATCAGAGGCTTCGGGCTAGACAATCCAAATCAGTACAAACTGTCCATGTAGTTAGCGATCGAAAGCAACTAACACTATTCTCATCCGGCGAAAACAGGTTCAACAAGGTCTCCAGGACCACCTTAATCGTGTCCACATCTTCTCGGTCATTTGTAAGACCGCTAATCAACGGTCGCAGCGCACCAGAGGCGACGGAGGCAGGATAGAGCTTCGCGAAGCTCCTCAGTCCCTGGATAGCTGCCCGACGGTCTTCCAACAGTGTAGCACTCTGCAGTCTACTGCTCAGAGTATTGATCGTATCCGTGGCGGTTTGTTTGGCCGGGGCCTGCGATTCGAGTATGCGAAACATTGCGACCGGTAGCTCGTAGTATCATGGTCACCGCTGGCGGCGGACGTAGCAATTTATAAACATCGGACAGGCTCCAGCCAGAAACAGAAAACCAAAATGCAACGCTCCAATGCTGAGTTGTTCAGTTGCGGAGCAGCTGCGATGCAGAGGACTCGGCATGTCAGAACAACAATAATAATAATTAGGTGGTGTCTCCGACGGAAATGCCAAGCAGCCGCTAAGGCGGAACCGCGACAAAGCAGAGAGCCGAAAACCCCGTTTATCTATCCGGGTCATTCATCCATTCATTCAACGGGCCCTGAAGAAACTTCCAGGTCTCGCTGTTTGACCCGCCCTCCAGTCAAAGAATAAAGGGCTTTGATACCTGCAATTTCCCTTGTCCTCAGTCTCCTCGGGATAGGTTTCTTTCTTTATCAACCCTCTTCCTTGCTCATCGTAAAGCTCGGTGCAATTTGCGATTCTTAAGTCAGGCGGTCCAGGAAAACTATTCGATGGAACGCATCGCCAACTGCATTTAGAATATCAGAGTTTATTTGCGCCCTTGAGATTTTAGTCATTACCATCTTGATAATCTCTTCACTTACTCGCCTTATTGTATCATCATGGGTGTCCCAGCGCTGTTCCGATGGCTCTCCAACAAGTACCCCAAGATCATCTCGCCGGTGATCGAGGAGCGTCCTTACGAGGTCAATGGGGAAGAAGTTCCGGTTGATACGACCCGTCCCAACCCCAATGGAGACGAAATGGATAATCTCTACCTGGATATGAACGGTATCGTCCACCCGTGTACCCATCCGGAGGGAAAGCCCCCGCCGGCGAACGAGCAGGAGATGATGCTGGAGATTTTCAACTATACCGATCGCGTGGTGAACATGGTTCGTCCCAGGAAGCTGCTGATGATCGCCGTTGGTATGTTATAGCTCTTTGATTATTTTTTACTACGAGCGATTACTGACCGGAGGTCCCGAACTTCTTTAGATGGCGTGGCACCGCGAGCCAAGATGAACCAACAGCGCGCACGACGTTTCCGCTCTGCCCAGGAGGCTAGAGAAAACGACGAGAAGAAGGAGGAGTTCCGAAAGATGCTGGCGAAGAAGAGTGGTAACAAGGCCGATCAGGATATTCAGGAAGAAGTCATTGAGAAGACTTGGGATAGCAACGTGATTACTCCGGGTACTCCGTTCATGGACATTCTTGCTGCTGCGCTGCGCTACTGGATTTCGTATAAGCTCAACACTGATCCGGCTTGGGAAAAGGTTTGACACCCAACTCGTGGTTTCTGATGTTCTCCGTTCTGACTTGCGCAGCTCAAAATCATCATTTCCGATGCGACCGTCCCAGGAGAGGGAGAGCATAAGATCATGGAATTCGTTCGATCGCAGCGAGCGTCGCCGGAGCACGACCCCAATACTCGTCATGTCATCTACGGTTTGGTATGTGGTGAGAGGAAAGAAATTGATTCGTTGAGATACACTGCTGACATTAAATGGTTCTTTAGGATGCCGATTTGATCATGCTGGGACTTGCGACACATGAACCCTATTTCCGAGTTCTCCGAGAAGATGTGTTCTTCCAAGAATCAAAGGCACGGACCTGTAGGCTATGTGGTCAACCCGGCCACAAGGCAGAGGAATGCAGAGGCCAAGCCAAGGAGAAGAACGGTGAATTCGATGAAAAGGGCAAGGGTTCCTCGCTCAAGCCATTCATCTGGCTTAACGTCTCCATCCTGCGGGAATACCTTGCTGTCGAGCTCTGGGTTCCCGGGCAGCCATTCGCTTTCGATTTGGAGCGGGCCTTGGACGACTGGGTGTTTATGTGTTTTTTCGTAGGAAACGATTTCCTTCCGCACTTACCATCGCTAGACATTCGTGAGAATGGTATCGATACCCTCATTGCGATCTGGCGCGACAATATCCCCGCCATGGGTGGATATCTAACGCAAGATGGACATGTGGACTTCAAAAGGGCCCAGCTCATTTTGCAGGGTCTAGCCAAGCAGGAGGACGCCATTTTCCGTCGACGGAGACAAGTCGAGGAGAGAAAGGCTGCGAATGAGAGAAGACGCAAGCAAGAGGACAAGGCTCGAGAGGAGCGTGCCAGCAAGCGAAGGAGAAGTTCGCCCAGCTATGATACGTACGAGCCCGCCGCACCCGCGAGCAACCGAGCTCGCGGTGGTGGCGACAATGCCGCGCCCTCCTCGATGCCGATGGAGCTCATCACTCCCGGACGAGGACATTTATCTAAAGAGTCCAGAGAGTTGACCCACAGCATGGTGGTTAATCGCGGCAATGTCTACAGGGCCAATATGGCCAACAAAAGCGCCGCCGCCGTCCTCAAAGATAAGCTCATGAAAGGTTCGCAAGGCGACCAAGACTCTGAGGAGCCTACAGCCGAGAGCGAGGAGCCATCGGGCGATCAACCGGAGCAGACCTCGCCCTCCGTTCTCGGAAAAAGAAAGGCAGAGGGAGAAGAAAACGGAGGCAGCGCTCAGAACAACGAGTCGAAACCCCAACAGGATGACAATGATATGCCCCCCGACAACGTGCGTCTTTGGGAGGAAGGATATGCCGACCGATACTACGAGCAAAAATTCGGCGTCGACCCAGCCGACAAAGAGTTCCGACACAAGGTCGCCCGCGCATATGCGGAAGGTCTCGCCTGGGTTCTATTATATTATTTCCAGGGGTGTCCCTCGTGGACCTGGTATTATCCTTACCATTACGCGCCATTTGCTGCAGACTTCGTGGACATTGGTGACATGGAACTATCATTCGACAAAGGCACCCCGTTCAAGCCATTTGAACAGCTGATGGGTGTCCTCCCGGCCTCTTCTAACCACGCTATCCCCGAAATTTTCCACGACCTAATGAGCGACCCGAAGAGTGAGATCATTGACTTCTACCCGGAGGATTTCCCGCTGGATCTGAACGGCAAGAAATTTGCCTGGCAGGGAGTCGTTTTGCTGCCGTTCATTGACGAGAAGCGACTCTTGACTGCCATGGAAAAGAAATACCCTTTTCTTTCAGACGAGGAGAAACTTCGCAATGCCATGGGTAAGGAGGTGTTGTTGATCTCGGATAGTCACCCATTGTATCAAGATCTGGTCGCCAATTTCTACTCCAAGAAGCAAGGTGCCCCCGAGGTCAAATTGAACCAGCGTGTGAGTGAAGGATTGGCCGGCAAGGTGGAACGCAACGACACGTATATTCCACACAGCTCTTTGGTATCGACGCTCGAACAATATGGCATGCCGAGCTTGGATGAAGACCGCTCTTTGACGTAAGTTGATCATTTCCCCCTCCCCCCCATACTGATTAATTCTTGATCCAATTGGTTAATATCCGATGCATACAGGGTCAACTACGAGATCCCCAAGTCTTCCCACATCCACAAATCCATGCTGTTGCGCGGCGTTAAATTCCCCGAGCCGGCTTTGGACTACGGCGACATCATGGCCGTCAAGAACAAAGCGCAGAACTCCGGTCGGTCGTTTGGAGGAGCTCCGTTCCGTGGCGGCGGAGGTCGCGGCGGTCGCGGCGGTCGTGGTGGTCACGGTGGTCACGGTGGTCACGACGGTCACATCAACTACGCCAGCCAGGAGCGTCCCAACCCCTTCGCGGCGCATTTGGATCCCAACTTTAAGCCCGCCGGCAACAATGCACCTTCAGGCTGGGTTCCTCCGCAGCCCGGATCCACGGGATACTCCCGAGGACCGCCCCCTCCTCCCCGTGGAGGCATGCAGGGTTACTCTGATGGTCGTCAGCAGTACCAAAACCGCGGCCCCTATGGCGGACCGCCTCCCCGACAGAACTACGGACGAGACGATTACTATGGCCAGGGCCAGCCGCAGGGATCCAACTGGCGCGGCCGGGGCGGAGGATATTCCCGAGGAGGTCACTCAGGTCGGGATTCCTATGGATCGAGAAATCAGGGTGGATACGGGCGCTACTAGAAGGGAAAGGTGTGGGTTTGTTAGATCTATAGTTTGTTTCCGATGTCGATCTGTTTCTTGGATCGTGCGTGTTTTGCCGAAGTCAATTTTTGTTTATTTTTCTTTTTTCTTTTCTCTGTGTTTTGTTTTTCTTGGTTCTCCTTTTCTTCTGTGATTCTTTACCTCCTGCTTCGGGAATTGAGCAGCAAGATGACATGTCATATACTACTTGGGATGGGAGTTTGCGCGTTGTCCTTTTGGCTTCGTTACTTTGGGTGTGATGGTTCTACGAGGAGGAAGTTTGTATGAAAAGAAAAGGAATGCTACGACGCCCGGGGATGTACCGGCTAATCCATACTATCTTTTTCCTGCGGACTACCTGGAAACTAGTAAAGTAAATCTCTAACATGAGAGTTCAGACCTCACCGACTGGAATCAATTCTGTATTCACAAATAAATCGGTGGATCACCGGCAGAGGCACGGCCAATGCCGAGGCGACATCGGAGCGGGCAAAAAGTGAGTCAATCGAGGAAATGAACTTCTCCGGTGGATCTTTTCCCTCTTCACCACCACTCTGCCTTTCCCTAACCGAGCAATCATCGTCAGTTCCATTCCCATCGTGCTCGGGTCTGCTCCTTTCTCGCCGCCCCTGTTACCAATTGCCAATTGAATGACTTGAATTCCCCCTTGCGGTCGTGTTCATCATTCCCCTTTGGGCTCAGCTGAGAAAGCCCCGCTCCAGTTTTCTCTCCGACGCCAACTCTCTCCTCCAACTTTCTTTCTTTCCTTATTCTTTCCTGGATTTCTCTCCTGTGTCGTCTCGTATTCGAGTCTGTACTCGCTATTGAGACGCTTTGGACGAACTCCTGGGGTACTGTTTGCTACCAGTCACAGCATGAATTAACTTGAGACTGGTTATTCCTCCCATAGTTGCGAATCGCCCGTCTCCCTTGCTTGTCGTTTACCACCCCTCCTCCATTCGATCATGACCGAACCCACGAAGATTAGCATTCTGGGTCGGGAGAGCATCGTCTCGGATTTCGGTCTTTGGCGTAACTACGTCGCTAAGGATCTGGTCCGGGACTGCCCCTCGACCACCTACGTTCTTATCACCGACACGAATATCGGTTCGATCTATACCCCCTCCTTCCAGAAGACCTTCGAAGATGCCACCGCCCACCTCGCGTCGTCGCCTCGCCTACTGGTGTACCATGCACCCCCGGGTGAGGTCTCCAAGTCCCGACAGACCAAAGCCGACATTGAGGATTGGATGTTGAGCCAGAGCCCCCCGTGTGGTCGCGATACGGTGGTGATTGCGCTAGGCGGAGGAGTCATCGGAGACCTGACTGGTTTCGTCGCCGCGACCTACATGCGTGGAGTCCGGTATGTTCAGGTTCCGACGACGCTTCTGGCCATGGTAGACTCCTCCATCGGAGGAAAGACCGCCATTGACACTCCGTTGGGCAAGAACCTTATCGGTGCCATCTGGCAGCCCACCAAGATCTACATTGACCTGGAATTCCTCGAGACCCTCCCCGTGCGGGAGTTCATCAACGGTATGGCGGAGGTCATCAAGACCGCTGCCATCTCGAGTGAAGAAGAATTCGCTGCTCTGGAAGAGCATGCCGACACCATCCTGACGGCTGTTCGTCGTCAGGTGAACCCCGGTCAGCACCGGTTTGAGGGCATTGAGGATATCCTCAAGGCCAGAATCCTGGCCTCTGCCCGCCACAAGGCCTACGTTGTCTCCGCGGACGAGCGTGAGGGTGGCTTGCGAAACCTTCTCAACTGGGGTCACTCCATCGGTCACGCCATTGAGGCGATCCTGACTCCTCAGATCCTCCATGGAGAATGTGTCGCGATCGGCATGGTCAAAGAGGCCGAGCTCGCCCGCCATCTCGGACTCCTCAAGGGCGTTGCTGTTTCCCGTATTGTCAAGTGCATTTCTGCTTACGGCCTGCCTACCTCCTTGAAGGATTCGCGGATCAGAAAGATGACCGCCGGAAAGCACTGCCCCGTGGACCAGCTGCTGTTCAACATGGCTCTCGACAAGAAGAACGACGGCCCCAAGAAGAAGATCGTGCTCCTGTCGGCCATCGGCCGCACCTACGAGCCAAGGGCCAGCGTCGTCCCCAACGAGGACATCAGCGTGGTGCTTGCCCCCAGCATCGAGGTTCAGCCCGGTGTCGCCGCCGAGTCGAACGTTACCTGCGCTCCCCCGGGATCAAAGAGTATCTCCAACCGAGCTCTGGTCCTGGCCGCTCTTGGGTCGGGTACCTGCCGCGTCAAGAACCTGTTGCATTCGGATGACACCGAGGTCATGTTGAACGCCTTGGAGAAACTTGGCGCCGCCACCTTCTCCTGGGAAGAGGAGGGTGAAGTGCTCGTTGTGAACGGCAAGGGTGGAAACATTCAAGCGCACCCTTCGCCTCTTTACCTTGGCAATGCCGGCACTGCGTCGCGTTTCCTCACTACCGTCGCGACCCTCGCGACCCCAAGCACCGTGGACTCCAGCGTCCTTACCGGTAACAACCGTATGAAGCAGCGGCCGATCGGTGATTTGGTTGATGCTCTGACCACGAACGGTGCATCCATTGAATACGTCGAGAAGAAGGGCAGTCTCCCTCTCAATATCACTGCCTCCGGCGGATTTGCCGGTGGTCAAATCAACCTCGCCGCCAAGGTGTCTTCGCAATATGTTTCCTCGCTGTTGATGTGTGCTCCCTACGCCAAGGAGCCCGTTACTTTGAAGCTGGTGGGCGGAAAGCCCATCTCGCAACCGTACATTGACATGACCACGGCGATGATGAGATCCTTCGGCATCGATGTGAAGAAGTCCACTACGGAGGAACACACTTACCACATCCCTCAGGGTCGCTATGTCAACCCTGCTGAGTATGTCGTCGAGAGCGACGCCAGCTCTGCAACCTACCCCTTAGCCATTGCCGCTATCACCGGCACCACTTGCACCGTCCCGAACATTGGATCGAAATCCCTTCAGGGCGATGCTCGCTTTGCTGTTGATGTTCTGGGCCCCATGGGATGCTCCGTCAAGCAGACCGATACCTCGACTACCGTCGTTGGTCCGGCGAACGGTCAACTGCGACCTCTCACCAATGTGGACATGGAGCCGATGACCGATGCGTTCCTGACTGCATCCGTGCTTGCCGCTGTGGCCCGTGGCGATGGTGACAACCACACCACTCGCATCTACGGAATTGCCAACCAGCGTGTGAAGGAGTGCAACCGAATCAAGGCCATGAAGGACGAGCTTGCCAAATTCGGCGTTGTCTGCCGGGAGCACGATGACGGCCTTGAGATCGATGGCATTGACCGCAAGACTCTTCGCCAGCCAGCCGGTGGTATCTACTGCTACGATGACCACCGTGTCGCCTTCAGCTTCAGCGTTTTGTCGCTTGTGACCCCTCAGTCGACTCTGATCTTGGAGAAGGAGTGTGTCGGCAAGACGTGGCCTGGCTGGTGGGATACTCTCAGACAGATGTTCTCCGTCCGTCTGGAGGGTAAAGAGCTGGCGGAGGACGAGTCTTCTGTCCTCACCCGTGCTGAGAAGAGCAGCGCCTCCGTGTTCCTCATCGGCATGCGGGGCGCTGGCAAGAGCACCACCGGACACTGGGTTGCGAAGACACTGAACCGGACTTTCGTCGACCTTGACACCGAACTCGAGCAAAATGAGGGCAAGACTATTCCCGACATCATCAAGGAGCGCGGCTGGCAAGGTTTCCGCGATGCCGAGCTTAACCTCCTGCAGCGCACTGTGAAGGAGCGTTCAACCGGCTACGTCTTCGCTTGCGGCGGAGGCGTGGTTGAAATGCCCGAAGCCAGAAAGCTGCTCGTTGATTACCACAAGACCAAGGGAAATGTTATGCTCATCATGCGCGATATCAAGAAGGTCATGGATTTCCTTTCGATCGACAAGACCCGCCCAGCCTATGTTGAGGACATGATGGGTGTCTGGCTACGACGAAAGCCGTGGTTCCAGGAATGCAGCAATATCCAATACTACGGCCAGCAAGTGAGCTCGGGCGGTCTGGCTCGGGCATTCGAGGATTTCAGCCGATTCGTAAAGGTCGTCACCGGACAGACGGACAACCTCAGCATCATCCGACGCAAGCCTCAGTCTTTCTTCGTTTCTTTGACGCTGCCTGACCTTCGGCAAGCCAGTGACATCCTGGGAGAAGCGTGCGTGGGATCTGATGCGGTGGAACTACGAGTCGATCTGTTGAAGGACCCCGCTTCGGACAGTGAAATTCCCTCTGTGGACTACGTGGCAGAACAAATGTCGTTCCTGCGCAGTCGCGTTTCGCTTCCTCTAATCTTCACCATCCGAACCAAGAGCCAAGGTGGCCGTTTCCCTGACGATGCTCACGAGGCGGCGATGGATCTGTACCGACTTGCCGTGCGGTCTGGCAGCGAGTTCGTCGACCTGGAAATCGCTTTCCCCGATGACATGCTCCGTGCTGTCACGGAGATCAAGGGCCATTCGAAGATCATTGCCTCCCACCACGACCCCAAGGGCGAGCTGTCGTGGGCCAACATGTCCTGGATGAAGTACTACAACCGGGCGCTTGAGTACGGCGATGTGATCAAGCTCGTGGGAATTGCCAAGGATCTGGATGACAACGCGGCGCTCCGGAAGTTCAAGAACTGGGCCGAGGAGGCTCACGATGTCCCAGTCATCGCCATCAACATGGGCGATAACGGACAGCTCAGCCGCATCCTGAACGGCTTCATGACCCCCGTGTCCCACCCCAGCCTTCCGTTCAAGGCTGCGCCGGGTCAGCTCTCTGCTAGCGAGATCCGCCGGGGATTGTCCCTGATGGGTGAGATCAAGCAGAAGAAGTTTACCATCTTCGGCAGCCCCGTGTCAGCCTCGCGCTCGCCTGCCCTCCACAACACCCTCTTCGGACAGGCCGGTCTGCCCCACGAGTACAGCCGTTCGGAGACGACCAACGCCCAGGATGCGAAGGAGTTCATTCGCTCCCCCGATTTCGGCGGTGCCTCGGTCACGATTCCGCTGAAACTGGACATCATGCCCCTGTTGGATGAGGTGGCCCAGGAAGCCGAGATCATCGGAGCGGTGAACACCATTGTTCCCGTGAGTCAGGGCACCGATGCCCCGGCGCGCTTGGTGGGTTACAATACCGACTGGCAGGGAATGATCCTCTCCCTGCGCAACGCCGGTGTTTACGGAGCCAGCGGTGACGCCAGCGCTGTCGTCGTCGGCGGTGGTGGAACCGCCCGCGCGGCCATCTTTGCCCTCCACAGCATGGGATACTCCCCCATCTACGTCGTCGGACGGTCCGCCGGCAAGCTGGAGAGCATGGTTTCGACCTTCCCCACGAGCTACAACATCCGCATTGTGGGACCCGAGGAGAAGATCGATTCGGTCCCCAGCGTGGCCATCGGCACCATCCCCGCCGATCGTCCCATTGATCCCGCCATGCGCGAGACGCTCTGCCACATGTTCGAGCGCGCGCAGGAGGCCGATGCGGAGATCGTCAAGACCGGGGACAAGGCCCCGCGGGTACTTCTGGAGATGGCCTACAAGCCGGCAGTAACCGCCTTGATGCAGCTGGCCTCTGATGCGGGATGGCAAACCATTCCCGGTCTGGAGGTCCTGGTCGGACAGGGATGGTACCAGGTAAGAACCGACACCCTCCCCAATCTGGGGTCGACGTCGACTACGATAAGCGAGCAATGAGCACTAACTTGGGATCTAGTTCAAACACTGGACTGGCATTTCGCCCCTCTACGAAGATGCCCGGGCGGCTGTCATCGGCTCCGAGTAATTGGAAAGGCTTGGTTTGGAGGCTCAGCTATATGATGCCGGGCTTTAATTCAACACAAAGCGCCAAGGATGAGAACATTTCGGTCATTCGGGTTTCGCACCCCAGTCTTTCAGCTTTAATCTAAAATCAATTTATTATTCCACTTCATATCTATGGATCGCCTTGGATTACCCCAGGAACAGGATCGCGATGGAGTCACTGGCGTGACTCGCGTAGGCTCACGGCAACAGTCACGAGACCCGATCAGTCACGCTGCCTCCCAACCCATGGGACGCTAACTAGTAAGTATGAGTCGATGGATCCATCTCATTCTGACTACCTATCTGTAGTCTATAGTATGCAGTCTGCAGTCCGTACTCCTAGTCCGTAGTCCGTGAGATGGCACGGAGTCAGAAAATAGTCTGTACCACTCCGTATGGTAGGTATCGAGTCGGTACGGCCTGTATCGCCGGTGTAGACAGACACAGAGTCGCTAGGTAGCTAGCGAACCACCGGAACCGAGTCAGGTGAGACCTGACTCCCAACGCTATCACATATCACGACTCACGATTCCGAAGCGATGGTCTGGTTATCGCGAGGAAGGAATCTAAGAATAGAATCCCCCGACCGCGAATGTTTCACATGACCAAGGCATGTGACCTCCGACCGTCTCATCGCATCGCATCACTTCGCTTCGAGATCAATTCTCAATATCAACTCAATCCCATGGAGAAAACAATTCAGGCAGAGAAATAAATTTGAAATTTTTGATAACCAACTAACTAGCCTCACCAGGATTCTTGATATGTCGAGATTAATGTTCTGGACTCCGACCGGCCAAAGTCCATCAGATCCAGGCCCTCGGCGGGCAGTGCAGACGCTTGAAGCGAGTAGCGACCGAGAGTCCAGAACGCCTGAACCCCGTCAGCGTAGGTGCTTACGCTGCAGGACATGCATTAACTACTGGTCAAGTCCTACGGAGTACCTGCCATTTGATCCGTAGGGAATTCCGAGTTCTAGATCTAGTTCTTAGTCTTGTCGTGTGTTGGATTTTAGAGGGGGGGGGGGAGGGAAATTTTTTTTCAATCTAGATCCTAACAGGAATGCAAGTTGCAGTGCAGATCGCATCTTGGACTACCTGAGTATGAGAATCTGGATCAGTCCATGGATGATAGATTCCATGTTGGGTAAGAATTTCGAGGTAAGAAAAAAAAAAAAAGAAGCGGATGGGGTGGGTGGGATCAAAGGATTGATTGATTCATGATTGTCAGTTGTGATTTGATGCTCAGTCATGGATGGGATGGATGATCATGGAGAATGGAGACCCTCTCTTCCCTCCCCCCCCCAATTCAGGTCTCCACTGCGCGCGTATCTGATGGAGTGACATTTGGCCAATGCCCGCGCAGACCACACAGATTTCCATACCTATTGGCTATAATCATATTGCATGGGATATTCAGTTTCCTTTCAGAGGAAGCATTATGGAGTCCACCTACGTACGCAGCACGGCATCTCCAGATCATTCCATTCGCAGCAACACTCCTCCGGCGATATCATATGAAACCTCTTTCCGACTTCGACACGCAATTTACTATTAATAAACTCATCCAGCCTACAGTCCAGTCCACACACGCCGTTGTGGTAGTCGTAAAACAACCCCATACCGAGGGACTCGTAAGTGATACACACCAGAAACAACCCATGTCTCAACCGCTCATCATTTCGAGCCAAATTTATGTGCTCAGTAAGCGACGGTGTTTAACAGTCCCACAATCAACACAAACAAGAAGACACTAAAGCAGGAAAAAGTGAGACACATCTTGTCCTCGTGGCACGCAAACTCAGACTAAAACTCCAACGGCCGCCCGACCGGTCGCTCGGTCGCGAACCGATCATGACTACTAGATTACAATATTCAGCCCTGGAAGGAGTGCCGGCTCATGGTTGGGCAGAAATGGAAATCAAAACCAAAATAAACGCAGAAATTTCTGAAATCCCCCTCTAGTCCCTCACTAGTTCAAACTTGCAGGGTAGCCAACCCGACCTAACACGCGGGAGGGCAACTCGGCTCTGATAGCCGGGGGAGTGTGGCTGAGTCCGTCAGTCTGGCACTTTGCGCCGATCTTGTTGATCGACCGGGCCGAGGGAGAAAAACAAAAAAGCAAAGAAAAATTGAGAACGACCCAGCCTGCGACCTGTTTTTGGTTTTTGGCTTTGTTTTTTTGGGGCGGACTCGAGTCAGGACTTGATTTGGTCTGCGGGGAGCAGGCCGAAATAGTGGGCATGACAGGTATCGATATCAATATCAATATTCAATATCGATCAGTGTCAACCATTCACTCTCTCAGTTTCGGGCAATATCCAAAACACTTCTATGTACTCTGTAGCTGGTATATCTCGCATTTACTATTGGCTATTTGGCACTGTCCTCCGACCGGATAAAAAGTTCCGGGATGCTCTACTCCGTTCCTACTAGAGTACCTAGCACATCCTGACTAGGGAGTATGTACTCCGAGGGAGTAGGGCAGAGACATCCCAGCTGAACGGTCGCATTGAACGGGGCAAAGCAGGACAGGGCAGGGCAGAGCAGGACTGTCCCAGCTGAAGGTAGTAAATCCTACGGTAGTGTCGTAGATGTTTCCCAAAGTCGACTAGCGATAGGATCTAAACGACCATAGAGATCCCTACAGTGCACGGAGAGAGAGATACGGAGTACGACTACGGATACACGGACTCGAACGGAGTAAGTGACAAACAAATCAAGGCCGATAGGATCAGACGAGCAGTGAAGAATTTTCCTAGTCGCCAGGACCTGCACGACTCCTTCCTGAAAGCAGGATAGTCCCGACATCTGGCGATATCCGGACAAGGGAGAGAGAGACTGAGAATGATGGATTGATGCGTCCATCATGCATCCCAACAGAAATTTCTCGAGACGCACAGACAGCACTATCCCCGAAGTGGCTAGAGCATCGAAAACGACCCAAAATTAGAAGGCTTCTAGAAAAAGTCTACGCGCGGAACCGCCGATGCCAAGGCGTTGGAGCGATTTCACCCTACAGGATGTGATTCGACGCGGGTTTTCTTTTTTAAAAATTTAACCCTACAACTAAAATCGTCGTACTGCATATACAACTGTACAATTTCTGTATTGTACGTAATTACGAAGATACTCAATTCCGGCATCCCTGCCGTACAGCCGTCGTAATGCACATCATCTCCCAATTCCCTAAATCGACCTACCCAAACAGGCCGCATCACAGAATTAAAAAAAGAAAACATGTTATTTTTGAACCTCGGAATTACCCTCCCAGGCCAAAAGCCAAGCCAAAAATACACCCACCCACACACCTACCCTTGCTTGAAGGATCCACTTTCTTCTTGCATTTTACTTTTTTCGATTCCCTCCTTCATGAACTGCTCAACTGCCTGCTGCAGACGCAGTGTTGCTACACAAGGTGTGGCTGTGCCCCCCGCCTCACCAATCAGACCCCTCCACGCCCTCGTCGCCCTACCAGTCTAACAGTCTAACCCGGTCTTGCATGAAGCCATGAAAAAGCCATGAAGACGCTAGAAGAATTTTCTGCCCTTCCAAGGCTTCCATGCATAACGCCATACGCCATACACCCATGTTTATTTTTTTCTCGGTCGCTGGACATGTGGCAGGGCGCGTGGGATTTTGTTCCCCGTGCGACTGCAACGCCGTTTAAGGTGCTTATCGGTTTTCTTTTAAGCCCTGCTAATTAACTACACGGTAGGATTTGATGTTGTATGGATGGATGGTCCCCGTAGTTACTTTGTCTTTCTAATTGAATGCTACGTCGACTTCGATTGAAAATATTTTAATAATAATAAGAATAATAATAATAACAATAGTGTAATAATCAACACCAAAAATAAAATACTCTTTTCGTTTCCCTCCGCAGTAGAACACTAATACATACCATACCACAAACCTACTCAAGTAAAACCCGTCCTCACTTTTCAGCCTTGTTTTACTTTTTTTAACCCAGAGTCTCAACTCCAGTTGAATCTCGGTACTCGAAACCCGAGGGATCGGAATCTCTAGCATGGATCGAACCTAAAAAAAAGTCATGATGTAGTGTAACCCCTACTTACTACTCTGGACCTTACAACAAAGAAAAGACAAAAAGAAAGTATTCGCATCCGATCTAACCCAATCTTAAACCCAATGGGCTCACAAAAGCACGATACCTACTACCTTCCACCACCAACACCAGCACCGACATAATGATCGTAACTGTATCGGTGCCAATGATCTCATGTAAATAAGCTATGCGTGGCTTTTTTTGTGTTTAATGTTTAATGTTTGGTGTCCTCGGGAGGATCAAACTTGGAAATCCGAAGATCTGTACCAGTTCCCATCTGGAGTTGGATTTCCACTCAACTCTAGTATGTACCATTATCGGCCCCGCACGCGAGAGTACAAGACAAGACATGAAAGAAAGTCAATGAATGACATTGACCATCTGAAAACCCACAGATCGACCAGATCAAACTCTCCTAGATACCGGGATGAGAAGAACAAGGCTAGTTTAGATAGTGGCTTTAGAGCCAAATTCAATCTATCAATCCCTTTCATTCCCTGGTCTTGTATTGGAATGGAGGCCTGTCTATCCGTCTGTCCGTCCGTCCTCCCCAAGCGATCATCTCGAGTGGTTACGCGCACGACTGCGCAACATGGGAGCCACGAAGCATGGCGTCCTGCGAGCTTATTGAATCAAGAAAGAAAGAAAAACATGGGCAAAGTAAGACGAGAACCATGCATTAGCACCGGCTGAATGGAACGAATCATCATCTCTATCTCTATTCCCTCGTTTGGCGGATGCAGGCTAGTACGGGGTACAGTGTAGCGTCGTAGGGTGGAAGTTGAAGTCCGGGGCAAATGGCTGGAAAAAGTCGCCACTCGATTCAGCTGTCGTCTCTTTTGAAATGATGCGCAGTGGGCCCGGGCTGAGACAGGTAGAAATAATCCGGGGCTGGGGATTGGCTGTGTGTTT